CTTATCTCCTCGGCTGATCAAGAAGTCGAAAATGTAATTGCATATTTTATGAGTTTAGTATTAAACAAGTTCAAAGAATTCGCCAATCTAACATGATGCTAAATGTATTTTGATACAAGTTGTAACTTTAGAATTATCATTGGTTCTAAGTTTTCTTCTTTATATTCTTTTTTATCACCCTCCTTTTCTGATTTTTTTTTTAAACACCGGATATATAAAGATTGTTGGAACACTATAAATGGGGGTGGGCCGGCTGGGTCTCACACCCACACCGCACTCAAGAGCGTTGCCGTTAAGGATATAAATGCAAATATTGAAGAGACCGTTTTAAAATGCGGTAATATGTGTACAACCTGTTTTTTTGAGGGGGTGGGTTAAAATGATCAATCACCGAAAGGAGAAAGAAATAATTACTCACTGGATGGCCCGAATAGCCTGTTGAACCTCTGACCTTCCACTGCGTGGACAGCACTACATGCTAGCATTGCGATGAGGCACCAAGACCACAACCCTGCCAGTCCAGTTGGCATGACGATAGATATCTGCTTGGTTGTTAGCACCATTTTCCAGTCTTCTTCTTCTTGGGGAAACCTTACCTGAGAAATGTTTAATTTACCAAGCATTTCCCCCTCTTTTATATGCTGTCAACAGTTACTGATTAACGGGACGCACTTGTCATAGAAGCCACGCCTTCTTTCTTTATTATGGATTTATGAGTGGTAAGAATTGTCTTGAAGGTAGGATACGACCATGTTTTTTAACCAGGTCTGTAGAATGCACTTTAATCATGAACACCGTGTTATGTGAGGAATACTGTACGCTTTAAAGTTCATCGATCGAAATCAGAGCTAAATTTCACTTAAATTTTCTCCCAAATTCAATGCCACTATGAAAAAATAATTCAATCGTACATACCACGAACATAATACATTGATTAAACCAGGGGCAAACAATTGCCATTTTTGTTGACTAAAAATACTTCTAAGTATAAATTATATAATTCAACTTGTACGAGCTGATTAGTAACATATATAACATCACATATATTTGTATAGCCGCATAAATATTTTGCTCTATCTATCCCTCTCTATCTCTCTCTTTCTCTCGCTCTGTCTCCTGAAGCAAGTCAGTTTTGTCCTTTTTTGGCCATTGAATTCCCTTTTTGTTTTGCCTGCTAATATTACCATAGTTTGCTGTTGCTGTAATCTTAAGTTTAAGAGCTGCATGCACTTCAAGCGCAAGCTTGCGCTGTAGCTCTTCTGAATTTGCTATGTAAAATGTTAACCGTTTCCAACATTTTGTTGCATAATTTGTGTTATTCAATGTCAATGTGATTTAAAAGAATATTGCCACTTTGTACAAAAAAAATGTTCACAATTTTTTATGTGACTGATTATTATTGTATGAAAAATGCAAAAATCAATAAATCAAATCAATTCAATTCAAATCAAATCAAATCAAATATTTGTTATGCCGTCTTCATCATCACACTAAATACCTTTAGTACAAATAGTAGCATAATGATTAATTTTAGAAAGAGTTATCAATCAGTTCCGTTGATTTCTTTTCAAATATTGTTGAAGGACATGTCTTGCGTTGATCTTCAGTCATGGTGAAAATTACACCGCCACCTGCCCATGTCATCATCTCTCGTTTCGCTTTTCGCTTTCTTCAAAAATAATATTTGCTGTGGGTATAGTCAATGGCGTAACTAAAGACCCCCCCCCCCCCCCACCAAAACAAAAATCGAATGACGCAGATGAAAAAAAAATCAAGAAGGGGATAGGTAGAGAAGGAGGGGGAAAAGGGAGAGAACATATTTCTAATGATTACACCCTTTCCAGATCCCTGACCCATAGTCTTGTTCGTTTGCATTTCTTTTACATAGAATGGGCCTAAGACAGAACCCCCTCCCCCGCAATCAGCGTCCCCTATCCACTACTGCAAGTACATGGTTCAGATTGCAAAGGCGGAAGTTGCATAGAACCCCCCCCCCCTCCCCACCCCCATACGCACATTATACATCGCTTCAAGTTCTCTGCCGATTGTACGCATGGTTTAATGCTCATGGCTCGTGAGGGCATAGGTCCACAAGTAGGGGCAAATGGTCGAAAAAGGGTACTTCAAACGTCAATGTCTTTACATTTCATGTTCCTGATACATTTTATCTTTCCTAAATTGGTTTATATTGGTACATGGCGAGCTGGAAATTTTACTCATGAGTATTTTTTCTTCTTCCAAACGGAATCCCCTTCTAATGAAAGGAAGCCGTATATAAAAAAAAAAGTACATAGGCTTATTTAGGTAAAATGGTATCAATACTCATTAAGCTTAAAACGTTTTGATTCATTCACATTTACCATGATGACTGAATTTAGTTCACTAGCCTGACCTTCTTTATTCACGTCATAGGCATCCTAGAGTCATGAAAGTGTATTTGAAACATTTTAGTTCCTGATGTCTTTGTGACAAGTTGGTTTAATCCAATCCATTTATATCATGTACCATCATAGGATCGATATGATTCCTCTTAGAAATTAGTCATTTCGATCGATTCCCCCCAAAGTTGATTGATGTTTGGAGGAATTTTTCGTGCAAGAAAGATTATTGATGGTTGCCGTATAGAAGGGAAGAAACTTCAAGTACAAGCATCATTAGTTGGGTAGCCGCAAATTGGGTTTCCTCTAATCAAGCAGAGAAGATATCGACAGTTTGGGGGTTTCTGGTGAATCAGCAAGAAGCGATGCACGTCAAACGGAAAATGTTGCATTTTCTTCTCTCTTCCAATCGCTGAGTTTTAAGTGCTTGAGCTTCATCCAGGCATGAAGAAATAAAATCCTTTCCAAAAATCGACGAAAATGGACTATGCTTTGCACCTTATAAAAGAAAAAAAGGCGACTATATCGAGAAACTGTCATACTAAAATTGGCGCCATAATTGCTATGTTGTTATGACGTTATTAGCTAAATCCGACAGTAGTCTGACCTTATATGTTTGTTTGTGAAATTATTATAAATAACGGAAACCTTTATTAACACAGAAGCTTTGGCAGGGAAGAATGCGTTTTGGAAAAAACTGTTATCACATCAATTATCATCTTTGATTAATGCTGTCTAATCCCATTTTCTGAGTTTTCTGAATTTGTATTTCGGTGGTAAATACATACGGATGCTCGTTAAAGTTAAAGTGAGCACATTTTTTTTTTTGGTCCTCGAAAATTTAAAAATTTGCACCCCCGGCCCCCCGCCCCCCCCCCCTGGATCCGCCACTGGTATTATACCCCGGTCATCGGAGTAACTCCCGCACAATGTGCACCACCTCCACTCCCTATGGAGTATTCCTACCATATGGTCACCGTGAGGGCATATGCAATTACTAACGTGAATGCTTTCGTCATCCTACCGGGCCCCCATTGCGCTCTTGGGTATTGAGTGGCAAATGAAGAGTAATGCCTTGCCAAGGGACACCAGTGCCGTGTCGGGGATTATAAGAGGACTCATGCGTGATGAATAGAGACGTTGTAATCTATCTGTAGATACACGAATAACTGAGCGAGGGGTATTATTGGATATGGAAAAGGAAATATGGCTTCTCTCGATTCCTAAACATCGAATAGAACATAATCTGTAAAAAAATTCTTTTCATGAGTGAATCAGTCGAGATACAACATAAAGCGAATTAACACCACACATGATTATGCAAGTTCTGGAAAACGCAGGCTTTCCACGGTGAAAATACCAGGAATTGTTACATGTAGGCGTTGGTTTATCCAAAATTAGATAAGTTAGAGCTCCGCCGACTTTTACCAAATATAGCTTTTACAATTACATAGAGAAGAGACAGGGTTATCAATTTTGTTATTTTCCCATAAGGTTCTAAAAATGTCAAAGCTGCCGTCAGAAAAGTTTGATCCGACCCCCATAATAACTGCCTTTAGTGAGGCTTTTGATATCATGAATAGAGAATGGATCCACATTTTACTTTCTCCTTTGCTTTAGGAGACACTTAATTGAATTGAATTGAATTTATCAACAAAAACATATCAAATTAATGACAGTATGTATTATGAACAATCATACAATGTAAAGAATAATAATGAAACATGAATACATGAAGAAAGAGTAATGGTCATTGAACATTAATGGCTCTCATATTTCGACATATAGATCTGCAAACTATTTAACCTAAAAAATATGCAAGTAATTAAATGTATATGTACAGTATATGAAGTTCTTAATGGGAACTAGAAGTTCGCACAAGTGTAATTAGTCGATCCTAGTTGCACTTTTTGGATTAAAAAAAAAAAAATATCTGCATGTAAAATCATGTTTTTTATTTACAATATTGTATACCAAAAATAAGATATAGTAGCCTGAAACGGTTTAGTCAATTTCTTAAAGAAAATGAAAGGTAAAAGCGCTAAAGGATTAACAAGGCTGTAAACAATTACGATAATCACTATGTTCGCAATATTAATGAGGCATACAATTATTATATATGTGCGTTCATGCGCCAATTCTGTAGCTATAAATCATGACAGTGTATACATACAAAAGGAAGGCAAGAAAAACAAACACAAAATTAATTGGGGGGATGGGTGGTGAACCCACGTTATTTACATAGCCATCGGTAGTTTGAAAGATGTCACCGAAAAGCTGACGTAAATAATATAATTTCATGTGGAGATCGTTCCATAGTTTTGTTCTGTGGGCTGTATAAAAGCTTTATGTAGTAACTCCTTGTGTAGGCCTAAATAATGACGCGTGACAATCAAATTACTGAAGACCGTCAAGTTTGACGAGAGGCGCTTTACGTCATTCTCACTCGATCCACTCCACTTGCACCCCCCCCCCCCCACAGACGTATTTTAGAGTCCTGTGCCCCCCCCCCCCGGATTCCAGAATCGAAACAAATTTTCAACCAATCATAGGATATCTTACAAAGGAAACACCATTCCATTGACCAATCAGGAGTTAGATTTAAAGTTTCCAACAGCTGCTGTGGGATTTAAACTTGGCAACAAAACTACCACAAGCCACAACAAGACGATTACGAACTTGGCATATTAGTTTAAATGTAAGTGTTTGATGTGTATATTATTTTTCACATACTGATTCATGTCAAAAGTTTGATTAGTGGACGGAGGTGTTCTTTGCTTTAACGCAGATTCTGGTCGATCGCGGCTAAACCGTGAGCCCAGTCCCATACGTTCATATTCCAGTTGGTTGATTACTGTGATAATTAATTGATTGCACGGTTTCGGCTTAGCTCGCCCGCGCGCTGCGCCCCGGCATTTGCGCGGTGCCGGTGATGTCTGATCGTGATAAACATAATCTGTCACTGACACTGACTATGACTGACAGTTATTAATCAGCATCAGCATCAGTGTACGGAAGTGTGAGGTGATCCTGTTAAAACTTCAAGTCGTGATTGTTTCATCGAGTGCATGCCATGGTGCTTCATTCTAACCTGAACTATTTTTGCTTGCATGGTGCCTGGTTTAGACAATGGGAGTCGGGCTAACTCGCCCACGGGACATCTCGCCCCAGCCTCAAAGACTGGGGCGAGATGTTCCGACATGATTCATCAATCTGTAATGTAATTTTGTCAATTGATACTATTGAAGACAATCTAGACCCTTTATCTTCTCTTTAGGTAAAATGACAACAAAAATGGCATTTTATTTTTGGACAATTTACTCACAGCTCGCAATTCGTGATTCATCGATCGAGAGATACCATTTGTGTATATGTTTGTGCTCATTGTGACTTAATAATGCCATTTCCAACCACAATCTGTAATGGAATTTTGTCAAATGATACTATTGAAGACAATCTATCTTCTCTTTAGGTAAAATGACAAACAAATTGAATTTTTGACAATTTACTCACAGCTCGCAATTCGCATCGCCGCATGTACATTAAATGTGCGTTGTATCGATACGAACCACTGAAATTCGAGCAGTGTTTCTGTCAGTAAATCACTGCAAAAATATCATTTTCATAATGTATGAAGGTCTATTTTTGATTCCTGATATAAATTTTGTTATTGAGAAGTCGAATGTAGTACATTTTAGACGAGATGGCTGATGTTTGTTCACATTCTTTCGTCCTGGCCATAAATTATCTCTGGACCGCTGAATCATGTCGAGACATCTTGCCCCAGTCTTTGAGGCTGGGGCGAGATGTCCTGTGGGGCGAGTTAGCCCGGATTCGCCTGGTTGGCATGGTGGACGCACAATCTTATCATGATTGTTATGTTACTTACTTACTTACTTGGTATACTTGGGTGTAGAGACTGGAAGCTTGGCTTATTTGTCCCTCTTTACTGTTGCATCCCGTCTCACGTATGGTTCAAACTTAATTGGATTGTTTCTCCAATACCTTTCTAGGGATGACTTGAATTGGTTAATGGTGGTAGCATTGACTACTTCCTTAGGCAGAGCATTCCAATTATTTACACTCCTTATTGAGAAACTATACTGCCTAAGTCTTGTGTTGAAACGTTGTTTGACAATCTTGAAATCATGGCCTCTTGTTGTTGAGCCAGTTGCTAGATGGAAGAATTTTGAAGGATTCACTCTGTCAAAGCCTCTCAGGATTTTGAATATCTGTATCTGATCTGCTCTTTGTCTTCTGTAAGCCAAAGTAGGAAGTTGTAGTTCTCTAAGTCTGTCTGGGTATGCTTTTTGTCTCAGCTCAGGAAGAAGTCTGGTGGCCCTCTGCTGGACTTTTTCTAGTATGTCTTCATCTCTCTTGAGTATTGGGCACCATGTTAGTTTGAACAAGTTTGTTTCCAATTATCATGTTCCATGGGCGCTAGTGATTGTAGTCTAGGTACCGTACAGTAGTGTACTTTTGCAACGGGTGGGTGTTCACTTTCATTCCACACCGGGCGCCTAAAATTCCCTTATTCTGTTTATCATTACACTTACAAAAACAATTTAGATAGATCTAGATCTACATTGTTACTAGCTAACTACTAGCTCTGATGCCGAGGCCATGCAAACACCCAAAAGTTGTGGAAAATGGGTCTTTTTTTAAAGAAAATGACCTAAAAAATGACCCCTAATAATGGGTAGGGGTTTCGAGGCTTGAGCGGCACACCCCCCGTCCAAACCAAATCTGAGTATCCCCCAGGGTTGTTACTGTGTTATAGAGATACACTCCCTGTGATTACTTTAAAGGAGAAGTGCGTGCATGGTTATGTTTGACCAAACTTTTAAAAGGGGCATGTCATTGTGCAAAAAGTGCTTTTGGCTGGTGGCATATGGTGTTAATATACTGTTAATTTATTAAGTCCAGCTTTACAGTCAAATGTACCTTATTCTATATCTAGTAATAATTAAATATTAACTGAGCTTAGGCCAATATGAGGTGGACAGCCCTGGGAGCTGGGTTACATTAAAAAAAGAATAACAAGGCAATTTGGCACAGCATGACTTGTACTGCCTGTTACAATTTGTTTAGAAGCTGATCTCTCATTAGGTCCCTTTTCATTTTTTTCAACAGAAGCGGTATGTCTACGTCAACTGAATCCGATAGTATCCCCATGCTTCCTCCTGATGATTCTCCGGGAAGCTCCATTTCCTCCTGTCTCCAGGAAGAGTACCAGGAGCTGCTGCAGTATGCTGTAGTGACTCCTCTTTATGATCCTTCTCGGCTCCCTCAGACGCTTGCTGGAGCCGCACGGTCATTTCAGCCTCAGAGACCAATCAAGGACCAGCTCATCTATCTCCAATCAAGCGGTAAGTTATGATCACTAAAGTCAAACAAATTTGAAAGTTACAAAGAAATGGGTACTGTTATCATAATAACAGACTTGAAAAAAAACTTGACAAGGCATTCAGTCTTGTTGTTCTTGTTCATGAGTAAACAAATTATAAAAGCATGTTTGCAAGTTTATAGTGCCAGTTATTTTATTTTATTTTTATGTAAACCTGTATATATGGAAAATTAGCTGCACTCATCAAAGGCCATTACATGTATTCACTCATGTGTATGTTATGCGATGCAAAAGATGTGAAACTTATGATGAATAAACATTATTTGATTTTGATTTTGGTAGTTGAACATGTCATGAGATGTTATAACAGACTTTATAAAAGCTCATTCAGAATATGACTGGCTAAACCGCCATTAAAAAAAAAAGTGGCACAATTTGTTTATACATACCGGTAGATAAATGGCATATACGCGAAACATAGGTCATGTGCATGTTCACTGAGCAGTGAGCTTTCAGTTAGATACAGATTGTGAAGCATACTACTCTTAAAGATAAAGGGGAGTTCTAGTAATGCGATTGCCTTATGAAAGAAAAAGTGTGCAATAGATCAGAAAAAGTTGATCATGTAGCATGTAAGTATTGGTGTGCACTGCAAGGTTCTGAATTCATCAAAATCATAATAAAATTTGGCCCAGTCTTGGTAAAGTAACAAGCACTGTACACATAAGTACATGGGACTACACAAATGGTGTGGTGTAGGGGCTAGCTTACCTTGATTTCCTTAGCTTTCTATGCTCATTAATCAGCCAGTATACATTTTTTTCCAAAATTGTTTGGCACATGACATTTATTTGTAATCTTGAACATTCAGTGCAAGTTTCATATGATTCTGTGAGAATTCCTTCTTTTTTTTTTTTTTTTTAGCAGAACTCAAGTTTATCTTTAATGTCATAGTGAAAAACTGCTGTCATATGTGAATGATGTTTAAGAGTTATAATATAATTTGATGAGTGAATCATTTTGGGTCAATTTTACTTCATTGACATGACTATCTCCATCAACATTCTTTTCTTATCTTCTTCTTTTTTTCAGAAGGGAGTAGCTCAGCGAGTGAAGCTTCACCACAACTTAGAGAGAGCATGGTTGCTACCCATGGTTCACTCAATGGTGAAGAGACCCAAACAGAGTCGCAGGATGAAAGAGGTTCTAGAGATCAAGAGCTCAGGAGAAGAGACCTTACTGGTTGGTATAGTATTAATAATCATAGCCAGTCACTTTTGATTGGAAAAAAAAATGGTGATACTATTATAAGCTACGTGTAAATTTGTATTGCGCACATTTCCACTCCTCCAAGATATGCTCAATGCACCTACAAAGTACTACCACAGTCAAACCTGCTTTAGTGACCACCTGTCTACAAAGACCACAATTTTTGTTTCCCTTGAAAATGGTATCTCATTGAAACACGTACTAAACGAAGCTGTCTACAAAGACCATCTGTCTACAAAGACCACCTGTCTACACAGGCCACTTTTTATGTTTCCCGTGGGTTGTCGCTAGACAAGTTTGACTGTATTACCCTTGCTTTAGCCAAGTTACCTTAAGGCACTTAAGGCACCAAGATAAACAGGCAACATTTAAAAATTGGCCCATAGAGAAAATGTAAGTGATTTATGAATTATTAAGAAGTACTTTGAGGGCACAGAATCATTTTTTCTCCTCCAGATTTCCCGTACCATAATATAGGTCTAGTGCACTTAACCTTTGAGGTTTTTTTTTAGACAATCCAAGTGCCAAATCTGGTTGCACAGTCTCTATGCTTTCATATTCATTATTTTTCATTTTTTTGTCATTCTTTTTTTGTTCTCTCTTTTTATGTCTCCTCTTTTTTCTCTCACTCTCTCTTTCTCTCTCTCTCTCTTTCTCTCTCTCTCTCTTCTCTCTCTCTCTCTCTCTCTCCCTCTCTCTCTCTCTCTTTCTCTCTCTCTCTCTCTCTATTTCACTCGTTCCCTTCCCCCCCCTCTCTCTCTCTCTTCCTGAAATTCAGCTCCAGCGAATGAATTATGTAGCCCAGTTAGATCCTCTCCGCCGGATGATCCCGGATCCGATAGTACCCCAACCACTGACCTGTCCACCCTAACTGACCAGTCCAGCTTGGCTAGTTCTCCTGCTGTGGACCAGGGCCTGATCCGCATGGAGAATTTGCTAGACAACTGGAGCCTGGAGCTGAAGAGGGGTGTTTTAGTAAGTTATCCAGCCTTGTCATCGCAAAATTTGGTACCTGTCTGGTTTTATACTTAAAGACTCGCCAATGATATGATGAACAGGTCCAGGACGGTCCTCTGACACATGCTCCATCAACGGTTGTCATAAGCTTAATTTTTACACTAACCTTGTCGCTAACCGAGCATCAACCCTACAGGTCCATAATGCTCAACCAAGCATTAAATCAAATGGCAACCATAATTCCTACCATCTATCTGGTGACGAAACAAATCCAGCCTGGAGAAAATGTCGCTGGAGCATGAGTCACATTTAAAATTGCATACCGGTATGTTCAAGGTAGATTTTTGTTATAAAGTGCAAAATTAAAAATAAGATTTAAATTGCAGAGACTGCTAGGAAAATTTGGGACATTGAATTCCAAAGCATGCACTAAATGCTTTTGATCTCCCTTTTTAAAATTTTTATATTTTTTACTTAGAACGTCCCGAAATTTGGTAAACAAAGTGTGTAGTGAATAACGTTTTGCATTATGATGACTACCTGAATTCAATTGTAATAGTACACCTTGCATGATTTTATGCCATTTGTTTAACTTTCATAAGTCTTTATAATATGCAGCCCAGATGATAAAGGATATAAAAGAGGTTCAATTTCCTTTGCTTTGTTTGCAAGTTGCCTAATTAAAAACAGTTACCGGTATTCAAATACATTTCAAAATTTAAAATTAAATTGATTGATAAACTTGACTCATTTTGCTGGTATTCAGTTTGGAAAATTTTAGTTGAAATGATAATGATATCCAAATGAATCAAGATGGTCGAAAAATTAGGGCACTTGATTTACCTTGCTCAAGATTTAATTGAGGAGCAGAGAATTCTACAGATTCAGATTCAGATTCAGATTAATTTTATTGGTCCATTTGGAAATTCAGTTGTTGGCATTACATAGGCACATGAACAATATACAATAGAAAATAATATACACAAATAGAAAATACACAGTAGCAAATGTACAATGACATATTCATATGGAAACACGGATATAAATCGTTTTACATAGTGGAATGATATAATAAAATAGAATAAATAAATTGACTTCCAACACTATTGAAAACGTACGATTTCGTAGAATTCGGAAATAGTATTGTTATTATGTTTTATTATTATTATTTTTATCATTATTATCATTATCATTATTATCGTTACCATAATTCTTATTGTTACTTTTATTATTATTATTATTATTATTGTCATCATCATTATCAACAGTATTTATTACATGTATCATTCTTTGTCACGGTTTTATAGCTGAATGCTTTCTTTGTTTTTTTTCCTTCATAAATTAAACGGTTTATAACTAAAACTTGAATAACATATGGTATCATAGGGTAAGATAGATTATTTATTTATTCCCTCGTGATACTGGTACAATCGGTTGAAAAGGAAAGGGTACAATGCAATTGATGATTAGCGAAGTGGCAAGATACAGGCTTATTCAAATTGACTGGAGTTGTTCATTGTATTTACGAATGGAAAGCGGGACAAAGGAATTAAGGAATCGTGAAGTTCGAGCCTTCATTGATCTGTACCGCTTCCCCGATCGCATTAGGGTATAGCAGTGATGAAGGGGGTAATTAACATTTTCCAAAATCTGGGATACCTGTTTCAGTATTGTACACACGCATTCCTGTTTCAGATGAGTTAAAGAAGGAAGGGATAGTGTCAACTGGTGGTCTTTTGCTTTAAGTCTGTATCTTAACCTTTGAAATCAAAACACATTTCGGTCAAGATGAAAGAAATTTGCCTGGTCGTAAATCATCCACCTTGTGGCCATGATCTTACAAGGAAATGGAGGAAGGAAAATTAGGGAATCCATGGTGCCATTTTAGTCTGAATCGAGACTTTGTTGCGGTTATGCTGAATGTTCGCAATGCTGACAAAGCTTGTAGCAACACAGGTCAAGTCCTTCAGTCCGTGCAAAGGAATAATTTAATTTTCTAGATGATGATCTCATCTTAATTTATTTGCCTTGTATATTCATGCAATGAAAACCTCTTCAAAACAGAATTTAAAAAAAAGTCCTATGGAGTGACTGAAAAGGGTCTGCCATTGTAAACTAGCTGAATAGCTTTGAGGCCTTTACTACTAGTGCTTGTTTTGCATGGATTGGTACACTTATTGAAGTACACCTACAAGACTGCTTGTCGTAGGTCAACACTCACCTTGCTAGTATTAAACAGCTTGTGTGGCGTTGGTTCCAGGGCACCATTGACTATCGTAGTAGGTCTCCTTGGAAAGAAGTAGGTCGAATGTTTAATGAGGCTGTAGTAGGTAGATGTCAGAAAGGATCGTTGCTCTTCCAGGTCAAGAAGTGGTAAATGACATAAAGAAAGGAAGAAAGAAGGATAGAAAGAAAGTAAGAAGAAAGGTGTAGAAAGTAAGAAGAATGAAATCAACAATGAAGAAAAAATGTAAGAAAGTAGAAATAAATGATAAAGAAAGAAAGAAGAAAAGAAAGAAAGGAGAAGGATAGAAATGAAAGAAAGGAATAAACCATACAATATAGATCTGTAGATATGACTGAAAGTCATGAAATAAAAAATAAACCAAGGGAAGACATTAAATATTCTGCTTATATTGAGGAGAGGGGAGACAAAACAGTGTTTTTGCCTTAATTTGCTTTTCCATAATCATTTCTTACATCGTTTATTCATGCTATTATTCTTCCCATTTTTCCAGGCTGAGCTTAGTCAGGCCAAGATTGCAGTCATAGAGAGATCCAGAGTGGAGGTTAGATTACAAAGGGAAAGGTAAGTATTACAATGTTTTAGAATTGTAATTTAGATAAGACATGGTAAATAGCTGCAAAAAGTATAGCTGCATGAAACAGTTCCCCCTGATGCTTTGTACTCTTTGATATGTGTGTATTAAAGCAGATAGACATGTGATGTGCATTGTGCTTTAGATCCTTTTGCCTCATGCGGATTTTTTTAATCTTTTTTTTTCTTCAATTTTTTTTCTATTTTTTTTCCTTCTTTTTCTTTTTCTTTTTTTGAAGGGGTGGGGGGGGGGGGGGTGGGGTGGTCACATGTGGCTTTTCCTCAAAGATACTTATACTTTGTAATAAACTAAGATTGTCATCTCTTGAGTTGCATGTCTTGTTCTTTTTAATAAACTAATACATTTCTTTTCATTTAAAAATTAACAGAAAACATGTACAGACATGTATAGCCTGTAAAAATACTGTAAAGATAATCCTAACTGTTTCCTTTTCGTGCGCAGATCTGACAAGGACCTGAGACGGGTGCAGAATGAGATTGAGAATCAGAAGGAGTTGCTTCACACGTACGAGCAATCGGTAGAGCGTAAGGATCATATCATCTCCAACCTGACCAGGGCCGTCCAGAAGGAGAAGGATCGGTTTGAGATGCTGGGGAGATTCCAATCCTGGAAGCTAAGACACAGCGAGGATAAGAGACAGGTATTAGGTTTAAAGCTGGACTGCACTACTTGTAGCTACTTGCGCCCTCTAATAGCCAACAATGCCTAAGCGGTACCCGTTGATACCCCATGGTCCCCTTTTTCTTATGTTAATTGAGAGCTGATGTGATAAGATAACTACCTGCCAGTGATCACGCAGGGAGGTCCAATCCCTCCTGGCCAAACTAGTGCAAATAGGCGTTATTGGCATTTTCCTTGGAAGTTTGCATTTCTAGAGAATTTTTAAAAATCTTATTAATTTCATGTGAAGTTCAGAATTATAAATTGACCGTTTGGGGCCACAAAGGCATGAGGTGCTGATGTTCTTTCACATAGAATAATGCCCTTTCGGCTCTAACAGACCAAACATTACCAAAATATCAATACCTTATCAAGTTATCATACCTTATACAAATTTCCTTTGAGATTCATAATAAAAAAAAGCATTTCTATCATAGCCTTGTGCACTGTCTGCTGATTTGCGTAACATCAGATTGACCTTCCTCTTATGGCAATTACCCTTCACAGTATGAACCCATTGCCTTCGCACACAATACAATTGTATCAACCGGACTACTATTGTGGAATGAACTCCCGACAGATTTGACAAGTAGCTGTTCCTTGTATACCTTTATATGCAAATTCAAAGTGTTCCACCCACACACTTACGTAATTCACCCCAATGCTACCTGCTACATACTGCTCTCTTTTTTTTTTATTGGTCCTTCGTCTTTTTACGCCTCTCGTTTTTTTGCTTCTGTTTTTTAAAATATAATTGTTTAAAATATAATAAAATTGTTATTAAATATAATTTAAATGCACAATAGACTGCTCTCATCTATAAGGGGAATGTACAAGTAACAAGCTTAGCTTTTTCCTAGATTCCCTCATAATTCACTACAAATATTGTAATTCCATTTTAAGTACCATGAAATTGAATTTATATCTCTGTATGTTTTTTTTACTGTATTAATACTTCAATGGCTTGATATAAAGGTATCTAAATTTACACCTGTCATTCTTATTGTTTATGATTTATGTAATGAATGTGAATGTGTAATATGCAATAAACTAAAATGAAACTGATATTAAAACTAATTGACCTAGGGGAGTATTCCCAGGGCAGTTGTTGTCCAGGTAATTGTTAAGTATTTTTTTACCCATTGAAATGTGCAAACATAATGATCTGTGCAGTTGTCAGGAGGTGTGGTATTTGATCTAAATAGTATTGGGGGGGGGGGGGCACGGTCCATGGGGTACTAGTAGTCATGGATACTATCACCAAAAAAAAAAACTCCATTTGTGTCATGTATCGGTTGTAATTTTAAAAAACCTATTGTTCAGCAATCAGCATTATAGAAAGAAGACATGATATCAATCCCAAATATGTTTGAAATGTTTTTCCTAGGTCTTCACTGCCAAACTTGCGAAGCGGCACCATGAGAGGCATTTGAAATCGAAAGTCTGGTCAGCCTGGCATAGCATCATCGTTGCCAAGTGGAGACAGAGGGTAGAGAAGGCGTGCCAGAGTAAGGCTCAGGAAGTCTGTATGAAACTCACCAATGACTATGAGGCAAGATTAGCGTCGGTAAGTTGTTTGTTTTGTAGTCAGAGGGTCTGTGAAAAGTCTTCTCTAACATTTGTTTAGATCTGTTCAGATTGTACAAAATTGCAAAATAACCTTGAGTGGTATTATAGCTTTAAGAATTGGACAATGGTTCAAAATAGGACATAGAAAAGTGATGCAAAGTTATCAAACTTGGCAACTTTTAATTATCATTTTGACCATGTTAATTATTTAACATTCCCATCAATTGAACTAGGAATGTCTCTCCAAAAACATATACACTGTAAGTTTTAAACATGAGCCTAAACCATGCAACTAGCAGAGAACAATTTGCTTAGTATTTTAGCTCTATCTGATTCTAAATTTACTATTGGTAAAATATAAGCTGTTGTCTTGGAAGTTGGACCAATAGTAAACCAGAGCTATAATCCAGAAGGTAATGATACCTTAAATGCTTTCCAATTAAGTACTGCAGTAAAATTTTAATCCAGCCTTAATCCCTTTGCTTTCGTTTTTTTTTTTTTCTTTCCTTCTTGATAGTTGAATGAAGCCCTGGAAGCTTCACGAGTCGAGGTGACAAAGCTCCACGCAGAGAGAGATTACTATGAAGAATCTATGAAGAAAGCATTCATGAGGGGTGTTTGTGCGCTCAATATGGAAGCCATGGCTATGTTTCACGATGGCGAAGGTAAGAGTGTGAAGTTATACGTGGAGGAGGAGGAAAACTACAAATAATGTGCTGATTTTATGGCCTCAATTAATGCACATTCTTTACAGTCTAATCCTATTTAATCCTATTTGTATTCCCTGTGAGCATGATAATGGTGATATTGTTATCGAAATGTGTTTCTTGAATGGCCTCATTCTTTTTTAAGAACATATATTGTTAGATGCTTATTGTTCAAAAGTCCTTGACTGATTTTGAGTAAAGGTATTGAAATCATGTTTTCTAAATTTCTACACAACTTTAGTAGAAACATGCAGTATACAATGCAAAATAAACCAGTGGAATCTTTGAAAATTTTAATAACTATTTTCTTTCAACATTTGATTTTTGATGTGTATTTTGTTGGGTCTAAATGTTTTATCTCTTTTCAAATTTTGTTAATACATTAACTTTATACGAGCTTTTCAAAATGTTACAGAATTTCAGTTATACTGCAGAGTGTTTATTTTGCTGTATTTAACTGCATGTAAAGTTTGTCATGTCAGTACAATATGCTCCATTAAAATGTCCAAATTTATATAATAGCAGGGAATAATTTATAAATAAACAAGTACCTAATTTCGTCTTGCAACATTAATTGCATGGGAACGAAATGACAAATATACCTTAAAGCCTCCTAAACAGTTAAATTAAAGCTTAACAGTAGTGTATTTTGAGACAGCATGACTTTATGTAGATTTGTTCCAATTACATCACAAAATCTCTAATAATTAAAAAGTGCCTTATTCAATTTTAGAATCCATAACATTCTTACTCAATTCCAGTTCTTTTCAAAATGATATAGGAATTGAATGCTGATTGTATGATATGATTTCACACACTTGATATTCCAATGTCCCTTTAAGGTTTTTTACATTCTCTCATTTCATTGTGTTTACTCTACTACTTGTATTAGATGTCTCATGAATATATGCATTTAGAAAGAGGCTGTATTCAGTTACATGCTTGGTAGAGTATGCAAACTGTAGCAAGTGTATGTGTAGATATTGATGACAGAACAACTATATTCTCAGTTTTCTCGTCTATGTATTGAATCTGATTTGTGAGTGCCAAGGGAATATGTTTGAAAGAAAAGGAGTAGTGTCTACATTATATAGGTTGCAAAGACTGAATAAAACATAGTGGGAGGTTTCCTAAGGGTTGATAGGTGTAACCATGGATACGGAAAGGGAAGTAATTATATTTTTTGTTATTATAAATGCAAGGTTATGAAGGAGCTACTGCGCTGTGTAATCAAAGAATTCTTCTAAGAATAAACTTGACTTTTTCTAAAGCAGTATACCTTTTAGATGTATAAACAGATTAAAATATGAGTAATTGCCTTTGAAATACAACACTTGTGGTTCTCTACCAAAATCAAATCAATCATACTGCGGTTTCTGCATTCTGCAATATACTGCAAAACCAAAAACTTGTGTTTGCATGACATTTTCACTAAAATGTTACAAATGGTTTAGAGGTGCAAAGGTTTCAGGATGTGGAGAAATCAAATCAGAGGTAACATAGCGCTCAGTTTTTGTTTGTTCAATTCACTAAAGTATCTTCCTGGAGAAATGCCAGTGGTTTACAAGTTGCAAAAGTTTTTTATGTTGTCAAAGTCTATTTGTTTTGGAAACACTCAACTTTGCAAAATTAGAATTGACTTCAGTTTGAAAAAAAAGAATAGTAATTTGATCAAATCGCATTTTGTTGCATACCTGGTAGTCATTGATTTAGAGACAGAATCACAAGCAATCCACCAGTACAATTACGATCAACTTTGATTTAAACAAAATTTGAAACTGTGATTTTCATATATATTCTCAAGGGCATGTAACTACTGATCCATGCCAAATGTAATTATGTTTCCACAATTTTGATAGCCAAATGGAAATTTTTACCTTTAAATGCCTAAGTTTGCCATCTTTTCTTCCTACTTTTGATTTCTTTATTTCAATTTTGTATTTATGCATTGTTGCAGAAGGAAGTGGACAGCCTCATCCTTCGTCCCACGCCCCCGCACCAACCCCAGCAGCAGGTGCCCCTGTCCCTACCCCAGCCCCCACCAGACCCTCGCCGTCAGTCAATACCACTTCACTAGGTCGCTCAGCCATACCAAGCACTCAACCCATGGGTCACCATGCACAATCCACAGTTACAACACACAGCCAGAGAGGGAATGTTCCTGCTGTCAAGAAAACGGTAAGTATCTTGTCTTTTCGTTTTAGTGTTTGTTGATCACTCGAATAATAGGTCAAAACCGTGTATGGATTCGATGAATATGTGTTTTTCTTGGAGCATCTGTACAAGGACTGTCAACCTGTTGGTTGTGGGTGCATATCCAGCCCAAGCAGTTGACAAAAGTCATTGCTGTGTGTGAACATGCCCCTTCCGTTTCATAGAAAAGCAGGCAAGTTTACAGTGGGAAACAACCCATCTCTCAGAAAGGATATTAAAGTGAGACCCTGTAGGTAGGAGAGGCACCCTGTTTACACATTAATGATAGTCTGTATTCAAAACAGGAATTTTTTCACTCAGTACGTGATTGTTGTATTCATTATGAGGGATGCAAGTTTGTAAATCCTGACACCTCCTCATGCAGGCCTTTTCAGGTTTTATTTTGTACATGTATATAGGTTTCAGGTTCATTAAGTGAAACCAACTGGTATACCCGATTAATACAAATGCTGTGCTATTATAGAGAGGTTTTGTGTTTCATTATCTAATCACCTCTTTAGATATTAAGATATTTATGATTGAAAATAGAAATTGCAAACACATTCCTAATATGTCTCTTAGGTTCCTTGGACGTTTATTTTGTATCTTACCCACAAGTCAGTGTAGTACTTATATATGATAGCCCTGTGTGTAGGCCTACTGTGCATCAATGATAATACTATATCTTGTTTACCCAGGGTAGCCTCATCGGTATTATTACCTTCTCTCCTGGAGGGCCCTGCAATCAATGACCCAGCTTTAGCCAAGCTACGTTGAAAAGGCGCTCAAGCATTCAACAAATTCCTTTCTACCGGGTACCCATTTAATTACCTTACCTGGGCAGTGTGGCAAATGTATATTAATATCTTGCCAAAAGACATTGGTGTCATGGCAGTACTCAAACCACAAACCATGTGATCTACATTCTGGTGACGTATCCACTGTGTTTGAACCAAACATACATATTGTGCAATATGTTGAATGGAAGCTCTGGTAAACGTTGGCTCTAACTTAAATAGAGTATTCAATAAATTTAAACGTGCATTTTATAAAATGCTCTCAATATTTTGTTTCTTTTTCCTCTAGGCGATGGGGAGATCATCTCAGATTAAGACGGTAACAGCCAGAGTGAGCGGTAGAAGTGAGCTGCAGGCATCCAGTGGCCTTGGTCTCAACCCACCTATGGCCTCGGTGGTGGTCGAGAGACATCATCCTATTACTCAGGTTAGATTACTGTTCCACGATGATTCCTAACCAATATCAGAGCTACAGAGAAGAAGAATTTGTCTAATCCTCCAACAAAGATCAGAACAGGAGTTAAAGATAAAGACCAGTTCTGGTCATGCGATTGCATTGTGAAAGAAACGTTATGTCGTTATATCGATCAGAAAAGGTTGATCATATGGCATATATTAAAGTATTGGTGTGCAGTGCAAGGTTCTGGAATCATCAAAATGATAAGAAATTTGGCCAAGTCTTGGTAAAGTTAAAAGCACTGTACACAGAAAGATATATATGGGACTACGTGACACGCGGTGCGACACGTGCGCGATATCTATCAGGTCCAAATAGATATAATAATTTACCAAAAATATCAATTAGTAGGCGGTTTCTCTGGAAAATTTGTATCATCATGTATTACTCAAAACATTCTTTCACATGATTGGTAATAAGAGCTTCCATTTCACTTTTTGAAAGGGGGGCGTTTCCAAAACTGGACTTTACCTTTAAAGATCAAATTCTTTCCATTACTGGATTCTTTCTTTAATCCTAATCCAAATACAAAGAAGGAACTAGGGAGCTGGCTCATATTCTTAACCATCATGTTCAACCTATTCCTGTTGAAAATTCTAAATGAAGTTGTGAACATGTGTCAAAGGTCAAATTATTTCCATAACCTGGGCCCGTCTTACAAAGAGTTGCGATTGAGCAAATCAATCGCAAGTTTTCATTCGCCTATCTCTTATGTACATACCAGTAGTTGCAAAAATCAGTTGCGATTAATATCAACTCTTTGTAAGACGGGGCCCTGGTGTCTAAAGCCAAGTTGAAGTTCAGAATAAGGTTGTAATGAAAGACTCTTTTTTTTCATCCTAAATTAGGATGTTGGTATGGGATAAAATTCTTTTCCATTTATTTCTAAATGGAATTGATATTCACGAAAATATTGTTCAAATATTCTTGAGAAAAAGTTGAGAACAATGGTGATAGATTCTTTTGCTCTCATCCTGAAATGAAATTAGGGAGTAGAGTCTTCCCCCTTTTTCAAACAAAGTAATTGGTTCCCTAGGGATTCTGATTCTGAATAAAAAAATAGAGAATTATGTACTCAATTTAGAATCTGTTCACTATTTTAGAATACCATTATAGTGAGTATTGGGAATCTAGATTTCATTAATTTGACTTAATTTAAACATCATTCAAAACCAAGGACTTGTGTTTTAAAATCTGAATATCAAAAATGCATGTAGTTGAAGGTAAATGGCAACAAACAGCGCACTATTGTAATAGTAATCTTTACAATTTCTTTCTTTTCTCCAGCAAACCGTTGGTCATGCCACTGCAGCACGGTACCCGATGACGACTACCCAGAGCTTGCCGAGCCATCTTAGCGGTGTGTCATCTAGAGGTGGAAGCAGTATGGCATCCAGAAAGCAGTCCCATACTGTTCCTGGTGCACCTACGGTCAAAGTAGTTCACTAATGGTTCAACTACAGACAAGACTGTATCGTTCATAGCCTATTCCAGATGCACTTTAGGTCATAAGTGATCCTTTCATGGTTCTATGAGAGTCAAGACTGTATCAATCGCGGCCCATCCCTGGCGCACCTACTGTCAAAGTGGTCCACTAATGGTTTAACTACAGACAAGACTGTATCGGTCATAGCCAATACCAGATGCACTTAGGTCGTAAGTTGTCGTCTCATGGCTCTCCTAGAGCCATGACCCAGCCCATTCCTGGTGCACCTACGGTCAAAGTGGTCTACCGATGGACGACACTAACAAACCAACCCCAGCCCTAACATTGTGCACCTGCATGTACAGTCATAATGGAGCACTAACGGATTTACTTCAGCCCCAGCACGTAGCTTGGTGCACCTGCGGTCAAATTGGTCCACTTTTATGGTGCTTTTCAGGCAAGTCTTCTTCAAGGTCAAAGGTGAAAGGGCCAGGGTCTTTGTTGGTGTAAAAGTGCGAAGCCTAGTAACAGCTCTGGTCAAGAGTGCCGGTATGAGGAGACAGACGATTCATGATGGAGGCCAGGGTTGCATGTACTCTGTGAGATGTGAAAGTCATCAGCATCCAGGACACAGCTGAACTAAAGCTGTTAAGCGCTGGGATGTTAACTAAATTTCGTCCTTTGTAAGTTTCTAAACTTTGGGCATGGTCTTTGATCGCATCAAAACAGAACTAATAACCAGTCCCAGTGTGAGAACACAATGATACAAATTTTCCACCAGAAAGAAGCAAAGACAATGAAATAAGAAAGACTAATTCTCTAAATTTTTCAATGATTTAAACGCTCCTTGAAAATACTTCTTCCACCAGTTTTACCATGGTCTCAGTATAGAGATTTTAAAGAAATGAAAATCTCTTGAGATCCAAAATATTAATGGGAAGTCCACCCGATATTAAATTGGTTTTAATAGAAGTAGAAAATGAGAGAAACGGGTCAGTGAAAGTTTGAGCAAAAAAATGATTATTGATAAGAATATTTGAAGGTGGATCATTCATAACTTTCTCATTTGTAATCGGATATTGCTCAAACTTTCATTAATTTGTTTCTTTTGTTTTTCTGCTTTTATTAAAATTAAGATACTGTAATATCAGGGTGGAATTTCCCTTTAATAATATATGTCAAAGACTTCATACATGTAGTCCCATATCTTCTGTAATTGTGTTTGTTCTAGTCAGGTTTAATAATAATCTTGAGATCTATAATAATTACAAAAAAGGAAGTGCTCTAAGAATCAAACAACATTGGAAATGAATGTCACAAACTTAGACACATAAATAATCTTTGCCAGAGAAATTTGATGAGAATGAATCTTCAAAAAACTGGAATTTTCAACAAAAGTGAAAGTAAAATGTTGATGAAAAAAATTTGGTCTGCTTAAAATATTTCAACATATTATTCCACAAGTGCTTATCTTTTTTGGTATTTATACTTTTCAAATTTGTTCTGTTATCCTAATTTTCAAATTACATTTGTGCTTATATGCGTTGCTAGCAGGGCTCAAATTAATTTTTTGTCCACGGGGGCTCTTCCCCCCAAAAAAAGAGCCCCCGTGAGCCTTCTCACGGTTTAGTACTGACGGGGGCTCTTTTTTATACAAATATCCATTGAATTGGTACCTATGATACTCCTCAATTATTTGCTATTTCATCATTTTCATTTCAATCAGCATTTTCCCTCTTACAAATTTACAAGCTACATAGCTGTTACTGGCCTGTGTATATAATATATACGCATACAACACTGATTTTTAATGATGTCTTTAACGTGACATATCTTCTTCTCCCCTTGCAAACGAGAAAGAAAACAAGGTCATTAAAAGGGATTAAGCGACGAATAATGATTGTGATTCAAATTGATGCGAATATTTGTTTGAATAAGCACTGCTATCCACCCGAATCTTCTTTGTAAAAACAACTTTTACAAATCTCAGCCATGCTTACTGAGTTGAGACGTTCCATTCAATGTAAAATACTCATTAAAGGATACACTTCTCCTAATCTGAAAGTGATCTTACAACACAGTGGCAGATTTGCATGGCTGAGATTTGTAAAAGTCGTTTTTACAAAGAAGATTCTGGTGAAAAGCATTGCTTATTAAAAAAAATCCTTGCATCAATTTGAATCACAATAATTATTTGTCGCATGATCCTTTTATTAAATAACCTTGTTTTCTTTTTTGTTTGCAGGAGGAGAAGAAGCTATGTCACGTTAAGAAATCATAAAGATCAGTTGTATTATGCGCATATACATTTATGATACCAGAACAAATGTTGATTATCAGAATGTCATTTTGGAATACCTCCTTACAAATACCACATTGTCTTTAGCCCGTATCAGTATTAGTATGATCCAATATATAAAGCTATTTTTCTTTATTTAATTCAGTATAATGCTTTTCTTCAAAAATAGTTTTTTTTTTTTTTTTTAGGGTTGAGACGCTAAGAAATGGTTTCAAATGTACATTACACAATCCCTGCATGAACCATTGCAAAATGATGGTGGTTCTCTCTCTCTCTCTTTATTTTAATCATGCATTATCAACTACATATAAAGCAGCAACCAAAAACTTAGGGTTATCTGAGATAGGTGAAAGTAAGAGTTAAAAAGAAAGTCATGCTAAAACGGCGCTTCACTCCCCCCCCCCCTGAAAAAAATAAAATAGATTAGTAGTCCTCTCTAGCATCCCCCCCCCCCCCCCCCCGCTTTAATATCACATTTTCACTTGGCAGCCCAAAGGAGACGGAGGGGGGGGGGTTAAACCCCCTAACCCCCCCCCCCCCGTAGATCTGCCCATGTTACCATATCGTTCCACGACATCTTGGTCTTCCTCTTCTTCTCAATAGGGACTTTTAGATTTGCGTGGACGTGCACTTGCAGTCACATGTGACGTTCTTTTAAGCACTGGCACTGCCTTAAAAGGAGGTCACACGTTGCAGTCCACGTTCTCATCGTGCAAATCTAAAAGTCCCTAATATTGATTTACTGGTCGAGGTTCATTATTTGCTGGTCATTTGAAATCACCAGATTTCAGCGGGTTAACGCTTTCGCAACGAAAAAATTCTCCATGACCATGTTTCTGCCCTTGCGCGATCGCCTCCAGCTCCAGCAGACATGGCGCGGCAGCGTGCACACGTACCGCTACTAACGGCGCAGTAGGCCTATAACCACTGCTGACGGCGGCACTGTGCACTGCGAGCTGAATCGGCAATAATAGGCCTATACTCATAAAACGAGAAATCTTACACGCTAATCTAAGTTCCATTTCATTGGTTTAAGGTTTGAAAATTGAAACTCAATATTTTGTTAAAGTTATAACAGAAAAGATAATCTTTATTTTATAATTCCACGGGGGCGATTTTTAATTTTGCAATCGCCCCCGTGAGCAACATGACGGGGGCGATTATGTAGCTCACGGGGGCGAATCGCCCACCGCCCCTGTGTATTTTGAGCACTGGTTGCTAGATTGTGTCTATTTTTATGTGTTGTAAGAAGAAAAAAGGCTTAAATTAATTACGAGGACTGTCCTTTAAAAAAAAAAAGGAATCCCTTCAAAAATGATAATGAATAACAGATTTTAAAGACCCTATCCAATGAAAATACAACTTGATATTAATGGAAAACTGAATGAATTTAGATTAAAAATATAAAGGAATAACAAATATTTACCCTTTCATTATTGCACAAAAGCAAATCGAAACCTCATTTTCCGCTCCCCTCCAAATTATGGGTCAACAGGGTTCACATTTGCTGAAGTTACAGTGACGACATAACATGTGGACCGACTGATTCACCTATATAGTTGAGGCGATGGGCCTTGCTTAATCGATGCAAAGTCATTGTGAATATGCGTACTCCACATAAGATGATGTCATCATGTCAACAACTTCCAATTTTCAAAGCTTTAGATTTTGAGTTTTTAGAAAGCTGATACTCCTCTGACAGACTCTAAAATGGCATATAATTGATATTATTGTAATCTATGGCTTATAAGCTTTCCGATGATGCATATAAATCATTTTTCAGTACAGATATTTTCTTTAAATTGCCAATTACATCTGTTTTTGATGTTGTAAAAAAATATAATTGTGTATCTTTGAACAGAATCCCTACAAGGTACGAATTAACTTCTTTGGAAACCCTTCAAAACTAAGCCTTCAGCTATTTATTTTAACAAAATTTTTGTTGAAAGTGTGCACCTGTAATTGACGTGAGCAGGAAATCTGTGTCAAAATATTTTTTCGACAAAGAATCCTAAAAAAAAATGGTCATGAATAATAGATGTTTTTGATGTTGTAAAAAAGTAAAAATAAAATCTTGATTAAAAAATATTAGTGTTGTTTTGAACAGAATCCCTACAAGTTACATAAAGCTGAAAGCTTGTTTCTCTGTATATGTTTTGTTTTTTGTTCCTCGATTCACTATAAAAGTGACTCGATAACCTTGCCTCAGATTTTGAAACAAAATCCTGGATTTAGCTCATGCTGCCATTATGATTTAGGTCAGTCAGGAATCCCATGACTTTTACAAGCCTAGTATCGCCTGTCTGATTATCAAGATATTTATGATTGGAAGTCGAAATCAAATTTTGCGTTTTCCTAACAGTTTGTATAACACTACAGTCTATTGAGGAAAATGAGTATGGTAAAACCGGTCACTCAAAGATTTTTACTTTTTTTGAAGCACAATTTTGTTAGGGCTTTAATATTACACGATATCACAGACACTGATTTAACATTGTTAAACAATGCCTTTAAGAATTAATTTGGCCGTGGACTTAAGAATCCTGTTTTGCTGTAGACTGGGAGCTCTACTGCTACCCTCTGTACCATTCATTCTTTACGTTGTATGTCTTAAGAATTCTGTCGTTTGAACCTGAATATGATAACAGGCTGAACTTATTCCCTTCACAACTGAAAATGTGTTCTACTCTGTAGCAGATTCACAATTATTTAAACAACATTCCACTTTGTACTTAAAAGATCCCTTAAATTCACAATGCTCTTCTTTCAGTAATCTAATGTACGTAATGTCTTTATTTTTGAGTTGTTATGACTTGTTTTTGTTTATTTCTCATCTTTTTTGTGTCTTTACCTGTAATCCTTTTGTTTCTAGCACCCCTAAATGTCCAATATCACTTTCGTTATCATTGGAGTCTTACTTGCATTGTTTATTTGGACAATTTTTTTATTCTTGTAAGAAAATGTTTTTTTCACATGCAAAGACACGTGTATGATTTAAAAATAGTAGTTTCTATGGAAACTATTCATGACGAAAAAGATATTAGTGACCCTTGGAACAGAATCTCTACAAGTTATAACTTAATGAAATTAATAACATAAAAAGATATGCAACAAAATGTAAGAGATCAAAGTCTCCAATTATGATTTTAGAACAGCAATTTTTATGGAAACCCTTTAAAACATACCCTTGACACACTATTTCTAAGAACAATATTTTTTGAAAGTGTTCACCCGTTATTGATATAGGCATGAAATCTGTGTGAAGAAAAGAGATATTTAAGAAATTTAGCAAATTTGCAAATACTTGTTGGAATTGCTCATGCAAGTTGCTTCAATTCAAAGATGAAAAAAAGAAGGAAGAAATATAGTTGTGGGAGGTGTATCTGATTTTCAGCAAGGTTTGGTTAAGTTTTTGCCGTTTTCCACAAGTCCAAAGAACCTACAATAATTACTGAATAAACGATTGCTTTGTAGACAATTTTTACCAGAATTCAAGTATCTTTTGAGAGCGTTATGTTTATCTGTTGGGGTAGCTGTAGTATTTCACTTTTGAGATAAATGTTGAAACAACAGTCTGGAATATTGGAAGCAAGATTATGTAGATGGCGTCAGTCTCAGAGATACTTTAATATTGCTGCTATAGTTAAATATATGATTATACGAGTTCCATGTAAAAAAATTAAATAATACATTGGAGCTTTTTTTTATACCCAAATTCTGATTTAAAGATACATTTAAGTATTGTCCTCTTATGTGTTATTCAATCTGGAAGGATAAACCTGTATGTTGTTACTGTAACATTTTATTAGATTTGTAATCTTGTACATATAATTGTAATTTATTGACTGTAAATAAATTTGTGTAAAGAAAGTAAATAAATGATAAGCATAAGAAATATGATATTGTGATTCTCCTATTTCGTATCCTTCTTATCCGACGTTCAGATTGGAGGAATGCTCCAAATACTGAAAGAAAACTTGACACTGAAGACTGGATAAGTAACACTCTTCCTCTATCTCTCTTTATGTCTTTCTCTTTCTCTATTTTCATTCATCTATTTTATTCAATTCAATCCCAGTTCTATTTCTAAAGTGTAATCAGTATCAACCGTCATATGCCACACCTCAAACTCTCAAATAAATGAGCAAAGCACACACAAAAAAGTAAGTTACGCTTATATTTTAGCCAGTTTATTTTTGTACACATCCTTTAATATACAAATGCCAGTCAACATTGACCAGTTCAAAAAAATCTGTATGTGAAAATTCATACAGCAATTATTATCTTCTAAACAAATTCATATACCATTCATTAATTACACAAATACCTATGTATCCAGTGCAGCTGTATGCCATCATGTACACACCAGCACGAATATCAGAAATATACAATCATCCTAAGAAAATCCTGGTGCAGAAAATAAAATTTATAGCTGCTACATAAATCAATTTAATCAAATAATCATTGTTCTCTCTCCTCTTTGGCTCAAAATACAATAAAGATAAAAGAAAAATGAATTTCATCATATGACATTGATCATAAATATGTTCAAATGCCATAATAAATACACGGGAAGATGCATCAATGTGAACAATAAAATGTGTAAATTTAAAATGAAAATCCCATCATACCAATGCTTGAGCTGCTACCAAAGAGGAGTACATTTATAAATATAAGGACTTCTTTATCAAAAAGACCTGTTACTTCTTTTAACTGTGAGAATAAGTACTTTTCTTGTTTCTAAGTTTTTAAGAATGGATCATGTGCAAGCTCTTTCAATTCTTTCCTCCGCATATCACAAAACACTTTAACACCAACAAAGAATTATAACTTGGCTTCCCCTTACACTGTATAAGTAAATTTCTAATTCAGTAATTCATTTAAATCAAATATATGCTCACAATGAACACTGCCGCCTTACTATCGCTATATTTCATTGAATCAAGGAAAATTATCACAGGCACAGGACAATAATTATATAATGTGTAAAATAATGGGTGAAATATAATAAAAATAGTGAGGTTCCTTTTATTTTCAGTCACATAAATTAACTAAAATTGTGGCTTATCTAGATAAAAGAAAAAAGATTAAAAATATCAGGTAATTTAGATTAAATAATTAATATTCACAAAAGGCGTGGTAAATTCCTGCTATTCTAATTAAAATAGTGACAAGTTGGACCATAACGGAATATTAAGCACTTGTTATGCTTCTACTTAGTTGTAAATACTTGACCAATATTCTTTTGATGTTGGAGCCTCGCTAGTACTAGAATGTGTTATACAGGAGTGTATCAAATCTTAAAATGGTAACAGTTACCGAGAACATAAAATTCTCCCATGCCATGCAAAAATACATTGGTTTAAAAGCTTTGTAATCCCTTATTATTATCAATGTGAAATTTTTACTTTTCTATGAGAACTATAGAGCACAGAGACTCTCTCCCCGACTATTATTCTCTGATTCTTAATACACAAGATAACAATAAAAATTATTTCTGAATTTTTAGGAATAATGGTAATAAATGACAAATAACTATGCAGAAAATAATATCAGTGAAGTGAAGAAACCTGGGCCCCCTGTTTCATAAAACTTGATATCGATAACATATGCTAAATTTCTATGACAAATCTGCTTCTAGCCAATCAGATGCTACCATTTCAGTAGCTTATAACAGTTATTGTAGCTTGTTATTGATAACAAGTTTTGTGAAACAGGGCTCAGGTTGGAATACCAGTGCACGTTCAAGGAAGCAGTTAAACACTCCTCTTCAAATCTATATTCTTGATAAATAAATATAGTGAATGCCATTCATTTTTAATTTTGAACAGGGCAATTGTTTGATAAGTAGATTGGCGTAAATTGCCAGTGGAAGCAGGGCATCTGAAGAACCGAGTGGTTTCTTTATCAGGGCTAGGGTCACGAGACACTTTCAGTCGTCATAACATGAACTATATAAACAGTGCCATTATGTGCAATCACTATCAAAATGCAATGTAATATTGGTACACTCTTCCACTTCAAAATGCATGTGCTTTTAAACTTTATAAGTATATGGTGTACATATTGTAAGAAATACCTTCCATACTAAATTGTACTGAAATTCATGGACTAATATCAAAGGGTATTGTTTTGTATATTATAAAATTAATAATATGAATACTAATCTTGAATCACTTGAATTCCAATGAAATAAGTACCAATATGTGAATTTGTATTTTGTAAATAGTTGAAGTACAGTGCAGTGAATGGACTCTACAAAGTTGGCAATATTAAAGCCTCACATTAAAGAAGGAATAATAAAATAATGCATACTTTAATACACACCACACTGTTTTATCAAAAAGTGCACATATTTTTCATGCTACACCTAGCCATATCATAAGACATGCACGTGAAAATATCAATCAAATACTTAACCTGATGAATGGTGCAAACACTTCCACACAGTACAGAAGAGAAAAAACACTGAGACAAAAATATAGTACTGAAAACAAGTTTTAAATACATGTACATATCATCTTGTAAATAAGTGAATTTCTGCCTGAAAAGAGTGATTTGCCATTTTTAAATATATTGCAGCAAAAGTCTGGACTAAAGTGTGAAAATATATATATATTACTGACAGTACAGTTTTTATCCCAATTTTTGATAAATCGGGCATATATTATGGGTGATATATATTATATAATCACTTAAGTGCAAAAGATGCAGTTCATTGTGAAAGATTGTGAGATGCAGTTCATTGTGAAACCTTTTTCTATTCTAATTCAAGTAGGATATGCCAATGTGAGAATGAATACAGTCATAGTTTCTAGGATTTTAACAGTCACGTATCTAATTCATTCGCATCTTAAAGTGGACTGAGCAATAGATGAAGAGATTGAACAGGGATTAAGAAAGAAATTCATAGAGATATGAAAGCAGGAGGCAAAAGAGGACGGAAAGAGAGTACTCTTTATGCTGGATCATGAATACAATGCAGGTGTTAATTTAATTGGTTGAATATTTATTTATACACCCATATACCATGCGTTGAACAAGTACCATATACTTTAATAGGAATGAGCGATACAATTATTCATTCATAAAACTTGTTTCCACCGGCACTTGATCTGTAGCTTGATATTATTTACTCTGATTAAATATTTGGATTACAGCAGGATAGAGCACCACTTTCTGTTTTTTTTTATTATTATTGATATTGCATCGGAAATGTACCTGAAACAATATAATATATTTTGACTTTGATGGTTTAACCCATTGGTGAGTATGATGAAGTAAAAGGAGTATTAGGAAAGTGCTCTGAAAGTGCTCCTGAATTGTGCTCATTATCTTTGTCCCAGCCACATGGCTACATCTACTTTTACATTGCCATGCTTGGCTCATAAATGCAAAATTTCTCATTTATTTCATTTGAACATGATACCTTTAGCAGTATGCAGTTCATCTCCCCTGCAGCTAGCAAATGTTAGTGATTTTTTGGCAATGAGTTGATTTAACATTGATATCTTCCATAATCAAGTGATAGACTAACCATGAAATGAGATGCAAACCACACGTATGCAACTGAATTTTAACCCCTGCAACATTTATTTTGTGTGTATGAACAGTGCTTTTCATTTACAGTGAAGTGATTATTATTTGACCTGCCATATTTGTGACATGGTTTATCATCTCATGATAGAACATGGTTTAAGAATTGAATCCTGTAAGACTGTTACGACCATACACATTTAGTTGCCATGGTTACAATGCGGTGGGGCCTATGTATATGGTATGCTTTGTATTGGGTCGCGGGAACTCCTGGTGCAGCTGTTGTTGGGTGGGGTTCTGCGGAGGAACGGCTGATGCGTTCACAGCGTTACCCCCTTCCCCGCCCCCTCCACCACGCCCAACAACCGCCCCGGCTCCCGCCCCTGGAGCTGCAGGAGCCTGGCCTGGAGACGATGATGATGAGGGGGAGGCAGAGGAGGAGGAGGAGGAGGAGGATGAGGAGGAGGACGAAGTATTAGATGATGATGATGGAGGCCCTCTGGATTCTAAGATTGTGGCTTGTTGTGCTGGTGGTTGCTGAAGTACACTGCCCAGTGAATGAAGTCAAAATAAGCAATGAAAGGTACATGTTTAAAGATTCACAAGACCTGGTTAAGCATGCTATCCCAAAATATGACCCATACACTGATCCTTGGTGGAATCTTCCAGTGCTCTAAATTCCCTTGTCTACTAAAAAGACAGTATTAGGTAGCAGAAAATATTCAAAAGAACTCCATATATCCATTTAAACCACATAAACTAATATGATGAAATGATACCAAAACCTAGAAATTTTTTATGATGAAAAAAATTGAGAGTCGCAACCTGCAATATATTTAGAAGAGTTGACTTTGATGCCATATTGTATGCCAGATGAACTTTATCAAAAATATCAGCAATGTTTAATAGTCTATGATAGTTTTTGTCTGCCACGTTTGCATAAAAATGGAGTTCTATCATTTTTTTTAATTTCTTTTTCTAGTTTAGGTGAATGCAATTTATGGTGATGACCACAGATATAGAAAACTATTAATAGAGTGAAAATGTGTTATTAGCAATTTAAAAGTTTGGAAAGTTTGGCTGTAAAAGAAAAAACTTGAAATTTAAGATGCATAAATAAACTATTGAAGTTAAAGGTATTACAAAGTTTTGGGAAATTTTGAAAGATGGGTGGATAGTGATTCTTTACAATTTTGATATATTTGGATGCCCCTGTGGACGTATTAAATACACTAGAATCTTTAGCCCCTAAAACACTTCTGCTTTCGAGAAAAATTGAATTTAAAAATTTACCGGTGCTCCTGGTAAATGTTGATGAACTTCAAATAGCTCCTACGGCCGTACAGTGGTAGCTGCGACCATGAAAATCTCAGAATATGTAGTTGTGGCATATAATTTCCGAACGGGGATAGCTAATCGGTCATTTTTAGTCAAGAAACATTGTTTTATAGCTTAATTAATATCTTGACCTTGAGAGGAAGCTATACAACATAAAGTGTTTATTATTTACAATTTCATAACTTTAGAGTCGATTTCGACCGCGACAACGATCAGTGAATATCGTAGGATCGCATATGCTTCCAATATGTTCATTTTAACCAAATTCACGACCCCATACCAAAACTTTGTATTACCTTTAATAAACATGTATGACAAACTTTCACAACTACCTATATCCCTCACAAATCAAAACTGATTGAAAACTACAGACCAATCGATACCATGAACATTGATAGTGGACTTATTTTACTGGAATGTAAAGTGGGAAAAGAGATACTTTCTACAAAGTCTGAAGTCATGTTTGGCCTGCACATTTCACAAATATTTATCCAAGATTATGGCTTTCACAAATGTCAGTTCATGATGTTTCAATATTCAAAATCTTGAAGTATGTCGGATTTGCTTTGGATGTTATTCATCTGTCCATTCAATGAATTAAGCTGTAATTCATTCAATAAAATTGACCAAGTGACAATTAGTGACAGATAGAGCTTAAATGACTTTGGTAGACACATAACAAATGGTTTGATTAGACGTATCAACATTCCCACTTTAATAAAAACCAGTAAAACTCATCTACAAGACAAACAGTCAAGGCAAAAGGGAGCATGTTATTTAAACATGAGATGCAATATTGTCAGGTCTGTTATCATTCACCATCCAAAACAGGTTATCCACAAAAATTCTTTTTACAAGAAAAAAATTCCCTCTTTTTTTATTTAACTGTAAACTCGTGACTAAATTAAACTCGCTTTGAAAATACCCACTTTCCAATTCAAGCCCTCCTTTTAAAAGAGTGACTACAGGATAGTCCTCAAGAAAAAATCAGCTCATACTTTCCAAGTAGATGCACAGAAGAGCTATCACAGATCATTAGGAGGTCATAGTTCAAATTCAAACTTTTATAAATCAAAAAGGATACCCAGAAAAAGAGTGAGCAGCAACAGAAAAGAACGCAAAACAATTAGTTAACTGCACAAATATTTGTTATTACATGTCTTTTAGTTTATTTTAGTTTACATGTATGTTCTAAGCCATGCGGATGCACCAAATCAAATGCCTGATTAAAAAACGCACGGTACCATGAACCAGTCTTTATAATGCTTTGCATCTCTTGGTTTTTATATATCTAAGAAGCAGAATTTCACTGATTAGTTTATCATAAGTTATCAGAAGAAGGCTAGGAAACAATATTACAGCACAAAATGAAAGTTAACAATACACGAATTGTCAAAATAAGAAACAAAATTGCAAAAGCCAATAGCAAAAGCAACAAAAAAACAGAAATAGCTCCAGTTCACATTGCAGAACTAAACACACAACACAGATGCCTTTCCTAAAAAAGTGTTTTAAAAAGCCACTGCAAACAAAAGATGCGAGAAAGGTCATGCAAAAATAAAAAAATAAAAAATCTAGAGCTAAAAAAGGAAGGAGTGAATTCCATGCTGCCAGGTGGATTCATTATTAATCAATATAATGGTTAGAATATTGCCACAGCTTTGCAAGAGTACTTTTGTCTAATTAGTATATGAAATTAATTCGAATTAGAGCTTGCAATTATATATTGTGCCAAGTACAGGTAACTTTCAACTTTATACTACTGTTAGTCAAATTAGTGTGAACAATTTTGAAACTAAATGTAAGTAAGTATTCTAAGCCCAGAAAAGATGGGAAAAGGTTGTATTAGAAGTGAGGCCTTTGATGGTACTGTTATATATGCAAATAGCTGCTGGCTTTTGATGACATTTAATTTTTGTTAAAACTCTACATGATGTATTTTGGCAGGTATTAAAGTTGAACTCATAGTGCAAGAGCAATTAATATTATGTTTGCTAATCATTAGTTAATGAAACTAAAAAAGAAAGAATTAGAAACAATTAAAGACGAGAAGAAATCTCCCCAGACCAACCTGGACAAGGAATTTTGGTTAAAAAGGAATGATTTATTTTGAAGGAAGAATGACGCACCAATGTAGGAGTCGGGGGAAAAGGAGGATACACTGACTGCTGACAAGTTGCATTTTTTGTTTATCTATCTATGCTACCCTTTACCTTTACCATTGGCCGGGGGGTGGGAAGCCAGCCCTGGGGCCCAGGGGGTGTCACCTCGATGACTCTCACCTGTGGGTGACCCCTGCTTGGTGGACACTGGATGGGTTGTTGGACATGATGGTGTGAGGGACGACCTCCTGGAGCCTGACGGAGCTATGGACAGGGGAGTTGAGAGCCCCTGACCCACCAGACCCAGAGGCGGATCCAGAGCCAGGAGTGGACGACTCTGGAGTACTCTCCCTGGAGTCGGAGTTGTTTGGTTTGTTCAGTAAGGGTTGGGGGTGGGTGGCTTGACCGGAGCTGGGTGAGATGAGAGAGTTGTCCGTAGCTCCGGCGTTGAAGAACACGACTCCCGCCGTCACCGGCTCTGATGTCGCCACTTCGATGGATGGCGGACGTGGCATCTTGACTGTCTGAGCACGTCTAGGAATGGGTTTGTCCCCTGCTTTGAGTCCATCTTGCACTTCGGTGATCACCTGCTTCTCCGACAGGTTCTCATCTTTCAGCGAAACACCGGTTCCTTGCACCACATGTCCGTTTCCAATGGTAAATTCCACAGACCCTAACTGTGTGCTTGAACTACTACTAGAATTCAAACTATTGCTATTTAACCCTTTGTTGTCCAGTGAGGACAGATCGCCACTAGAGTCATGTACCCTGCTTGTGTTCTGTACAGAGGAGACAGAACTAGACACTGCAGGATCACTCCGTCCAGCCTGCAAGGGTGCCGTCGAGGTGACAGGTCGTCCAGATTCCTCAGGTTCCGAAACCTCTGCCTGTGATTGTTCAGCACTTCCTGGTTGTGAATTGGCAACGCCAGAGTCTGGGGTCATCTCCTTCTTCTCCTTCTCTTTCTCCTCGCGTTCTTCTTTGGCTTCCCGCTGTCTTTTGGTCTCTTCTTTGCATTCTTCTTTGACCCTCACCAGCAGTCTTCGGACTTCCCGGTTGTTGGGTGCTAGCTTCACTGCTTCCAACAAATCCTGTAGGGCTGGTCCATATTGTCTGCAATCAAACATGAATTTAAAAACATGCTCAGACTATGACATTTCCTAACATTCCAAAGCATGAAAGTAACACATCCCATTTTCTGTTACTTCATTTGACGGTTTACATGAAGATTTTTGATCAAATAACCATTGTGGTGTGGTGAGCAGGATGTCTCCTACTCAACAACGAATCCAATAGCTTTATCTAATAAAAAAAAATAATTTCGTACAACTTATATCCTTTTATATATAATAGTCATGACACACACAAGTTTTTATCTGTTATACTTTTTGAATCCATCATCTGACCATAATGCTATTGCAAGATTACCGTGGAAACAGCTTCAATACAATTTTCAGCATAATTCAAGCACAGCTGAAGACTATCTTTGAGCAAAAATACCCAAGTATCAGATCTTACCTTATTGCTCTCTTAGCCCTAGCTCTGGCGTAGTATGCTTCAAAACACTTTGGTTTGATCTCAAGAGCTTTGCTAGAGTATTCAATAGCACCAGTAATATCCTGCAGAGAGAGAGAGAGAGAGAGGAAGAGAGAGAGAGAGAGAGAGAGAGAGAGAGGGGGGGGGGTGGGAGAAAAAAGGAGGGATATAAGAAATATGACATGTGATTAAAACGACAGCTACTTGTATGACTACTGAAAGAACTGGTAATGACGACAGCCTCTTCAGGTGGCGTAAGATTATAAGGTCTTAAAGAATCATGTAAGAAGGGTAAGTTTGATTTTGATTTGATTTGATTTATTGATTTCTATATTTTAAACATACATATGAAATGTGGAAAGAGAGTTTGCCTGTCTGCCCATTCAATCAAGGGCTGTCAGTGTGGCAGGTAGCCAGCACCCATACATGTTCAAGTATACAAGTATAACATTCTTACTTTTTATCTGATTTTGTTAAATCTTTTACCAATCTGCATCTCTGATTTTTCATCTTTCCTTCAGAGCAACTTGCTACCATGGCTGAACTTCCCATGAATTTCTGCATTCATTGTGCATGCATACTTCCGTGCGGAGGCAATGTACGTTACTTGTTGCACAAAATGATACCATATAAAATACATAATCGGGGTCAACGGTAACAAAATGTCTATTCGTTAAAGGTCATAGCACTGGTCATGTTTTCTTGTTATTGAAATGAACATGGTTTTGACGTCAGCATTGAGAAAATAAAATCATGAAACCTCACAAAAAAATTCCTCAATGACATCAGGAAATGGAGAATTCTTGGAAAATAATATTTCAATGATTAAATGGTACTATTTGTGGGATGATGATCATGATGATAACCTACAGTATTATGTTTATGACTTTAGATCATAATGATTATTTTCAAAGAGAAATAAAAAACGTGCCAACAACCATAACAAAATAGCATTGGATACATCTGTATAACATTGATTAATGCACCGGTCAACTAGAGTCTTGAACCTACCCCCCTCAAGACCTCACTCTTATTCACTTTTGGTCTTGAACGTCCGACACAAAGATTCACCTCTCATTCACCTTGCTTCGTAACAAATAAGGTCAAGATTCACTATTCCAAATTATTTATAAGGTGCAGATTCACCCATCTCCAAGAAAAATAGGGTGCAGATTCACCTCGCCGCTAAAAATATTAGGTGCAGATTCACCACACGTCTTCACCTGCTTAATTTTTATTAGGTCAAGATTCACCGGCCTTTCACCAGCACCGCTACTTATGGTAGATAGAGTGATTATAAGTAAAGGAAACATAAAATTGATCATGAGTACTTGTGGAAACAATCTGTTTTCTGAAAATGGTAGCTAGAATTTAAAAAAAGGTACAATTTCGCCACTAATTATTTTTTTCGGGTCTCCGCTTCGGCTACGATGTCTCGCCAATAATTATTATTTTTGGATCTCCGTATCCATGAGTTATTCACTTTGTGTTAAACGTGTGGCTTAATGATTTACATATACATGTGGCTAAAACTTGTCAAAAGGAGTGTTTTGTTCAACTGCTTGTTTTTATATAAGAAAATGTTGTCACTGACACGCAGCTAGGCTAGGAATTTTTTTTTTTAATGGGGGCTACTTTAAGAAAAGTGGGGGCTAATTCATTTTAAGCTGTAACAATAAGTTGTGTTTTTCCTTAGCCGTCATGCTACTAGTACTAGCAACCAAATTGGTAGGTAATATTGTGTCATTTTGTATTTTTTTTGTCCCGAATTTGAATTGTTATCATGGACAATGCGATCCCATTTTAAAAAAAATGTAACTCCGTTTAAAATTGTGTTATTTAGATCTAGACTCTATAACTTAACCAATAAATGAATATTTTTACTGTTGTCCCACATAACGATCATTGTTATAAAGAAACATGCAAAATCATAGTCGTATTTTTGTCCCCGTAAAGACTCTAATTCTAATCTATAAAAGGCCAAGCCAAAGCTAGTTTCATTTCGTAGACTGAAATTGATGCCATCACTCAGGCGCGTCGCAGGCATCAACGACAATGGGCCTAGTATATAAATAATATAATTTAATTAAACAGTTGTAAGAAAAATGCTGAGGTATAGGGACATCATTTATATATTTATTTACGGGGTTTTTATAACAAAATTCAATTTCTGTCTACGAAATTAGCTTTATACCGATTTTACAGGAAAAAATCTGGCATTGATTTTGCACGTTTCGTTACAACAAATATATCGGTATGTGGGACAACAGTAAAAATATACTCGCATTTAATGGTTTTAAGTTATAAATAACACAATTTGAGACGGAATAACATTATTTTTAATGGGATTGCACTGTCCATGATAAAAATTCGGGTCGGAAAAAAGACTAAATAAACATATTACGAACCAATTTGGTCGCTAGCAGTTCAGCACTCGTCACTCGCAAATACTTATTTGCTTCATACTCTAGAAGCGTGCGGGCTCGCGCTGCACTGGAGTAGCTAGTTTCTGTGTATTGTGAATCTGTACTCCGTATTTACATCGGGGGCGCGGGCCTGGCCGCGTGCTTAGGCTAGGCGGATACCGATCTAGCTACAGCAGTAGGTACGACCGCCGATCCGCTGCAATCACAACACTTTTAAAATGTTGATGGAAATTTCTAGTTTTGGAGTTGGTAGTTGGAACGGAGAGTTCAGTCAGACAAATCAATAAATTGATTTATTAGTTCCCAGGGAATATCAATTTATGGCGGGGGCGATTTTTCATTATATATCAATTTTGTTCGCCCTCGTCTTGATATTTACTGTGGCGATTTCAGAGGTTTAGAGGCGAATCGCCCCGTCGCCATCGTGTATTTTTTTCGTTGGCGCAGGCTATACAAGTAAACAAAACGTGACAGCAGCTGTAAACAAATTTCCCCCACATCTGCATAGCCGGGTTATATTATGATTTACCCAAAATGTGATCAGTTGACAAAGCAGTCTTCGTTGAGTGTAGACATATTAGAAACTCTTCAATAATTAAAAACTTTATCGGGGTACACTTTTGGTACTCATCAGCAGGGCGGTATTCCGCATGTCCTGCTGACTCCAAATTCAGAAGGTTTAGAAGGTACATATTTTCGGGTTTTAATATTCGTGGACACCGGATTTAGCGCGAAATCCGAACTCGAACGTAGCTAGCTCCACGTCACAGTTAAAATCTTGAACCCTCATTTCCCCTGGAGTCAAAGACATTCGACGCTCGTTCACACACGATAATTTTTTCACTCGACGCTCGTTCACTTGTATGTGAAAAATATTCGTTCAAGATTCACAACATTCGGTAAAAAATGAGGCAAAGATTCACCTTCTCCTACAAATAATAAGGTAAAGATTCACTACGGCCAAACAAAAATACGTCAAAGATTCACCACGCTCAGATTTTGGCGACCCCAAGATTCGACGTCGAGTTGACGTCGAATGCTTGACGATCCTTGAGGGGGGTAGGTTCAAGACTCCGGTTGACGGGTGCATAAGGCAAGAGAACTGTTACAAGAGCTGAGCTTTAAAAAATTAAGAGTACATTTTCAGTTCCAGAGTTTTTAAAATCTCTAAACATTGTGCCATAGATACTAGTCATCTAAAGAATTTCTTTGGTATAAAAATGCAGTTAAAACTAAACTGTCCATAATCACTATTTGAAACAAATTTTCATATTTTGCAATATAAAAAACTTCTAATCCAAAGCTATATGCCAATACATAGCTTGACAAAAGCCAATTTTGCCTAATTCCTCCAATCAGAATGCCTATAATATTGCAAATGCTGCATTTTCATTTTAATCGTTATATTCAAATTAGGAACTTCAATAGGGAAAGGGATAATATTGCACAATTCAAAATTCATATCTCATGACACTTGTGTTTTCTACAGAGATCGGATACTTTAAAGCCTCTCTAAAGTGTTGGAAGCCCCAAATTCGCCAAAAATTTGATGGGGAAATTTCACTTAAATTATATTATAATGTGAAAGAGGATGTCATTTAAGACACACTTTTGCAAAGATTCCTCCCCCCCCCCCCCCCCAAAAAAAATGTGTTTGAAGACAAATATTGATAAAAGAATACATATTTGGGGTTTTTGTTGTATGCAGAAAACTTAAATTTTGTATTCTTTCATCAATGTTCGACTTCAAACACATTTGTTTTGAAAATCCTTGCAGAAATGTGCCTTAAATGACATCCTCTTACACATTATGATACAATTTAAGTGAAATTTCCCAACCAAATTTTGGGGCTCCCAACACTTTAGAGGGGCTTCAAAGATCAGAGTGCAGTCAAATCTTAAAAGTGTGCAGTGGGCTTTAGGATAAGAGGATTATCATCCTGGAAGATGATACCTACCTCTAGCTTTCGCTTGCATCTTGAGATGTTAAGGAAGAGATTGACTTTGAGTTCCTTGTAGGTCCGGATGTCTTCACCAAAACCTTCCGAAGGAAACTTCCTGAGAGCACACTGGTATTTATGACAAGCCTCTCTCCATTTCTCTTTCTGTTTGGATACAAAAAAAAATGGAGGTACCATTACAAGATATTGTAAAAAGTAAAGAGTGATATTGAAATCAGGGCCCCGTCTTATCAAAAGTCGCGACTGATTTGGATTGTAACGTTAACAGTCATCTACCATGTATGTCATATGTAGAGCTGTGATAATGTCACAATCAAGCTCATATGCCATTCATTCAGAGCAATCACATCTCTTCAAAATGCTTGGCCAACTTAAGCTGAATATTTAAAATGTAGCTAAACTAGGCCAATGTCACACAGTCATAGGTTTCCCATCAGAGGGTTCAACATTTAATTACAAAATGTTACTGCTGGAGGAGAGACATCAAAATCTGAGGCAATTTTTGTAAGTTAGAAATGAAATCCTACACTGCCATATTGTTTAAAGTATACTGTACATACATATATCGTACATGAGACAAGAGTCAACTGTGGCACTCGATCGTTTGGTTAAATCGTCAACTAGAGCAGATGTAGACTTAATTTAGAATATGATTGATGAATGTATCATTAACTGACCAAGCTTATGGTTTCTTAGGACTTGAATAAGCTGGTGTTAAATAATTTCCTATCTATTAAAGCCCATCCGCACTAGTTTGGCCAGGGGGATTAAACCTCCCTGCAAGGTCACTGACAGGTGGTTATCTCATCAAATCAGCTCTCAATTAACATAAGAAAAAGGGGATCATGGGGGACCAACAGGCACCGATTAGGCATTGTTCGCTATTTAGAGGGCACAAGTAGCTATAAGTAATGCAGTCAGGCTTTAAATCTTTGTACTATCTTTCATCAGATAAACATAGCTTGAAACACGGCAGCCACATAAAATGATGGTATGTCCAGACTGAGTTACCTTGTAGAGTGCATTGCCGTCATCCATGAGTTTCTTGAGTAATAGAATCAGAATGTCTGGCTTGGAGGTTGCCATGGCCCATGAAGCTGGACCTAAATAGATAAACACAACCATCACAAACATTATGGAATGTTGGCATCATTCAAACTGCTAGCAATAAAAAGGGTAAGATTGTTGTATCTCACAAAATTACAAGTATAGTATCAAGGTATCATTTATTTCTGATTCCAACTTAATATAAGCGTATAAATCTGTATTGCTCGAAAGAAACATAAAAGCACACAAATGTAGGATTACATACTTAATTTTTCTTCCACTTGAAGGCTTCCTCTACCCTGCATTTATGATTTTTAATATTCACATGATTCTCAAGAACCCAAATTAAAAGGAAAATACAGAAAATAATAAAGTTTCATACCTATAGATGCTGCAATTTCTTTGAAGTCAGATGGGAGATGAATTGGAAAGTGAGTGTATGTGTCAAGCATGGCATGCCATGTTCAAGCATTAAGCACTGTAGACTTACCTAGCTTAGCACCTTTCTTGAGTAGAACAGAGACGACAGAGGTGTTCCGACATCCTATAGCCCTGTCCAGTGGTCTCATACCACTGTTATCATAACATGCCAATGTTCAAGCATCAAACACTGTTGACTTACCTAGCTTAGCACCTTTCTTGAGTAGAACTGAGACGACAGAGGTGTTCCGACATCCTATAGCCCTGTCCAACGGTCTCATACCGCTGTTATCCATGTGCTCTATGTTGGCTCCTTTCTCAACCAGCAGTTGAACCTGCGACGGATGGATGGAATGAAAAGGATGATTATAAATCTACTTAAGTCCACATAAGCCTCCTTCACATATGTGTCAGATCATAAAGGGATGTTGCGCTTCAAACATTTTTTGTTTATGCACTGTTCCTACTATGTATTATATCTTGATGTAACTCACTGAATTTTATTATCTGTAAAGAATTATTTTACATGATGAAGAAATATGAGAAAAAATATTTAAAAAATTGTTTTCTGAGATGGGGTTTACAATAATAGGGTGTCTTGGGAGCTGCACAGATTGTGAGAATGTTTGCAAGACTTGATTTTTAACAGTTCTTCATATAACCAGGGGCCTGACTGATAAGCACTTAATAGACAAAATCCTGCATTACGTTCTTTGGCATCCTGATGGCCATTGCAGATCTCTCTAACAAGGGGTGATCCGTGAGAATTTAGAACAACCGCAAATCAGTGTTGCACATGTGTTTTGGACATGCTGTAGTCATCCTTTTTGGCAGTCAGGGATTCCATACGATAACCAATTACTTACTATAGATGCAAGCATGTAACTATCTTAATACTGTCCTGATCAGAATCCTTTCAGATACGATGGAGGTCATTTATCATATGGTATGTTGATTTGATACATTCTTAATTAAAATCAAAAGTAGTAAAGAGTAACAAAACAGTAACAGCAAAAGTATACACCTTCTTTACAACTCATGAGTGAGATACAAGCAGCAGGACAGGAGGTCACAGAAACCTAGCTTACCACTTGTGGATCTCCAAAGAAAGCGGCCAGATCAAGGGGAGTTCGTCCATTCTTGTCGTCATGGTCAATGGCTGACCCTCTCTCTAGGAGCGACTTGACGATGTTGATGTGGCCTTTCAGACAAGCCCAGCACAGGGCGGTCAGACCCTCCTTGTCAAAGCTGTGCACTGAAGCTCCTGGATTGTGATTCGTTTAAAGAGGGTACAGGAAATGGAAAGGAACAATTATGGCACCGTTTAAATCAACGAAAATCCATTCTCGACTATTTGACTATAAAGAAACACTTGTATTGCAGTTCAAATCAGAAGATATCCAATATTTCAGTACATCAGTTTCATCTTGATTAGCATAATGCTATTTTGTTTGTTCCTTTTGCCTCAGTTTGTCCATGTATATGGTATAAATCTATCTGTTGTATCTATGTGAAATGAATTTTGGTAATAATGATCAAATCACTCAAAGAACTTCTGTAAACATCTAAATAAAACATGAATGCAAATACTAAATGATTAAGGAAACTTCTTTGCACCACATACCACATTAACAATTGCAGGTAAATTAAAAATGACTAGAGAAATATAATTTCATTTATTTGAAGCCATCTTGACCAGGAGGTTTTTGTCCCAGATGAAAGCATTTCATGTCAAACCCTGAATACAACATAGTTTATAATGTATTTTAAGAGCTGGATAAGGATTCCTGACCAACCTTTACTTAGGAGCACCTCAAGGACAGCCAAGTGGCCTTCTCCAGCCGCAAGCATGAGGGGTGACCGTCCATGTCGGTCAGTGTCCTCGAGCGAAGCATGGTTGAAGAGAAGGATGTCCACTATCTCCCATCGGCCTTTCCTGACCGCACAGATCAGAGGGGTCATCTGGGACTGGTTGCTCTTCTGGACCGATGCTCCACGCTTCAGCAGGAGCTTGACAACCTCGGTGCGACCCTGGCTGCAGGCAGCCGTCAATGCTGTAAAACAAAATACAATCAATATCAGATGTATATTATACCTTAGAAGTAGGCATTTAAAGTTGAAAACTTATTTGCCTCTCATTGACATTAGGATGAAGAATCCATATTGGGACACATGTTTAGTGGCGCTGTACAGCAGTTGACGCACATGGACAAACGAAGGACTCTTCTGGGTCAAATTGATCTTTTCTTGATGACAAAAATTTAGGAAAATTGGATTTAAAGCTATTAAGAGACGTGCTCTACACAACTACAGAGGAGAGATAGTTCCATTCATTGGTACATCGCTGAGAAAAGTAGCCACATCTAAGCTTTTGAGTAGACTTGCTTCTTAGCAATCTTGTATCGATGGCCACATATTATATCCTGATAATAACCTGATATACAGATACAATAAAGTTACCAATCAACCCCTTTGTGAATATGCAACCTGTATATCAACACATCAAGTGATGGGAAAATGTTATCATAGTTATGAGATTTTTTTCAAATATCCTTCATGATACAATGGCTTCTAACCACTTTGAAAGGCTTTGCAAGGCTTTGAAAATGCACACCCTAATGTCTTGGCACAAACTTCTCTTGTTCATGCATGATAAATGGAACTCGCATACATGTACAGTCAAACCTGTCCATGAAAGGCTACCCAAGGGAAACAGAAAATGTGGCCACTGCAGGCATGTGGCCTTTCTAGGCAGGGTCTACAACCAGGGGTGAAAGTGAGCAGTAAAAAAAAAATAGGTTTTTTGTTTTCCCCTCAACCACGCCCCCCTTGAGTAAAAAAAAAAAAAGGCGATTCGCGGAGAAAAAACGGCATCTAACAACATTCCCCCTTTCGAGTAAGAAAATTGGGAGAAAAAAATAGGGCAAAATAGGGAAGAATAGAGAAAATAAGGGGGGAATCAGGAAAATCAGGATAAAAAAGGGAAGAAAAAAAATCTGGTAAAAAAAAAAAAAAAAAAAAAAAAAAAATTTTTTTTTTTTTTTTTTTAAATCGGGAAGAAAAAAAAAATCGGGAAAAAATCGGGAAAAATCAAAAAAATCGGGAAACCGATTTAAATCGGGTTTTTATCAGGCCTGTACAACATAAATTTCTCTCTCGATGGTGACAAAATGCATGGCCATTATAGAGAGGTGGCCACTACGACATGTTTGACTGTATTAGGGAAAATCCCTGCAATGACAGTCATTAACATTAATGAGTTGTACCTGTGTCTCCATGAAGGGTATCGGGCTCGTCCACACTGAGAAGGCTTGTGGTTGGAGAGTTAGGATCCGTAAGATCTAGGCAGTATGTACAGACCTGTGGGGAAAAAGAGAACACATAGCCCAAAAAGGATATTAATTACTTGCTTCATCTTTACCATACACAAATGAAATCTTCTAATTCGAACTGTTTCACTTAATATTGATATCCCATCGATTTATGAATTTCTAAACAGACTAATTGCTCCCTTTAATACTGGTGAATCTCATATTGCTGAGGAACAAACTTTTACTAAACAAAAAAAACAACCTATTGTTTATACAAGGTATGCATATATAATTTTGAATTAAAAAATTCATGACAAAAATGTTCCCAGCTTCTATTCAGTGATGTGCTGTTTAAAACAGGCATCCCATAACAGGCACCCCAAAAAGATTCACTTCTACTTGACATGCATGTAAGGTTAAATTTAATGCACATATACTAACATTATCACACATACAAGTTCAAGCAGATTTGATTACTTTAAAAGGCTAGTCTCAATCCTTTCTATGTAAAGATTACGATGAAAAAAATATTAATCATGATTCCTAAACAGTTAGATATATCTTGAATTAGGAAAATTCATCTTTCAAACTTAATTAAGAAATTTGCTTACCTCTTTATGGCCTGCTCCAGCCCCTGCGACTAATGCTTGCTGAGCTACCGATTTATGGGTCAGCTGTGTACGGTCATCTTTTGTCCAGTCACATTGAAGGAGGAAGCTCAGGACAGGTAGATGACCGTGGTCAGCGGCATGCACCATAGCACAACGTCCACTCTTATCAGTATGGACCACCTAACATCAAAGACAATAGAAACTTAGTAAAATAAATTCCAATGATGTCCTACAAGATTGGAGGTTGAAATGACCTAGAGTATATGTTAACCCATTGAATAAGATGGTATTGTGAAATTACATATATTTGCTATAGACTCCAGCTTAGGTTATCTGGGACTTAAGTATTCAATAGTTTAAACAGGCAAAAATCATCCAGTAACCACTATCATAATTGACATGTAAGAAAATTTAATGAACAGCTCTTTTGAATCATAACCACAATCAAATTGAAATAAAATAAAATGCTGAAGATTATTCTAATCCTTGTAAATGGATTTCCCAAGTCATGTTCTACTCAATTTACTGAAGATATAGAATTAGCTCAATAACAATTAAATTCCTGTACATGTTAACAGCTCTACTGAATTAAAACAGAAATTCTTGTATCAATTAATTGTTAAAAATTACACTATTCATGGTCAATTCTTTTCTATTCATGTTCTACAGAAGATAAGTATTCACACTTTGTTACAACAAAATTTCTGTTTATCCAGAATAACAGATAATAAGCACAAGATATTACCCTTCATAGCAACAAAATTCCTGTACATCTAAAAAAATAACCAGTATAAAGAGCAAGAGATCAATTACCGCTGCGCAAGATACAATTACACCTAACCATGAAACAATTAAGTACTTGAATGAGTTCCAGACCTACCTTAGATTTCTTGATGAATAACATCCTCACAATCTCCAGGTGTCCACCTGCTGCCGCATGACACAGGGCAGTCATACCCCTGTCACACTCGGCATCGACGTTGGCTCCAAACTCCAGTAGCAGGGACACCATCTCAGAATGCCCCTCCCTCGAAGACACGCACAGCACGGGAGCACAGTTGAGAACGTCCGTTCGCTGGTTAGGGGAAGCCCCGGCTAGTAGTAACAATCGGCTAACCTGAAGTGACAAGATAATGAATGAATGATGTTGTTGTTATGATCTAATTAATTGAGAACATGATCTTAAAGTGCATTCACCCATTTTAAAAGATTATCAATTTTACTTTCGTTACGGTTATTGTATGGATCCTCTTGAATTTCCTTTGGCAGACTTGGCCATTTGATCAAATAAAGTATAACTTTAAATGCCTCTTAGAGATAAAAAAAAACAAGCAAAAATATACATGTGGGATGATAAATGGAAACTTGGCAATGCATTGTTTCTAATGCACTTTCTTTTGAAATTACTGTAAATTAGGAGCTAATCATGGAACACAGAAACCAATCAAAAAGGTTGATGACATAAAATTATTAATCATTAAAAATATTTGGTTATGGGAATTTAGCCACCACACTGTATTTCTGCAGCTGAGTCTTTGAATATTAGTGATTATACTATAGCTAAAGCGATATGAAGTTTTTTAAGAAAATATAAAAGATCAAACAAAGATTCTTAAAGCCCCTCTGCACTAGTTTGGCCAGGAGGGATTAGACCTCCCTGTGTGGTCACTGGCAGGTGGTTGTCTCATCAAATCAGCTCTCAATTAACATAAGAAAAAGGGGACCATGGGGGACCAACGGGTACCACTTAGGCATTGTTTGCTATCAGAGACGCCAAGTTCAAAATCAGCAATGCGTGACATTTTCATGATTTGACGCGCTAGCGCGCGTGCGAGGGTATAACACACGTATAAGGTATAGCGTTTTTTCAAAATCTAGCACGCGCGTCGTGCGTAAGAGCATTTTCAGACCCTCGAAATGCGTGATGTCACGCCTAATGCGTGATACTTGGAAGCTCTGTACTATATAGAGGGCACAAGTAGCTACAAGTAGTGCAGTCCCGCTTTAACAAAACATTACTAAAGATTTTTTTTTGACCATATTTTAGATATGAATACCTTGATATTAGGAAAGAAGATGTTCCTCCTCATAACAAGACTAGCAGAGAGATCTTCAGCATTGAGCTTCATCCAGATAGCCTGTAGTTCCCGAGCCGTGAAGTGACCCACGGGTAGATGACGTCCGACGGTCTTGTAGATGTGAGCTTTTAGGATGTGATGGCCCAGCTCAAAGGACTGGTCACGCCCTAGGCGCCGCCCTCGACGACTCAACCAGAAGGCCATGGAGGCATGCCCACTCCTGAAACACAGTGAAGTAGGATTTTTGGTTTCATAGACATTGGAATAACAATTTTTTTTAATATATCTAAAATGAACCTATTCTTTTTTTTAAGAGCATGAAATGTGATCTACGGTAGGCCAGAGATTCATATAAATTTCATAAACAGAACATTGTGCTCTTTTAACTTAATTTCTGATACTCCAATTTTATTATTTCGATACTAGTGTCAACATTTTAAAATATTGTATAGACGAATATTCATGTTTAACAATAAAGAGGTTTAATCATACCCCTCTTCTCCATCTTTGTTTTCCAACTAAAAACTCTGTTTTCAAGTATTTCTTCTTTTACCGCATTTTAAAACAAGTTTTGTTTCGTCTTCATTGTTCTACATGTATATCTATATCTACAATTACTTAATCATTCATTTCACACAGTCACTAATATTGTTTCAGAGAACAAATCATTAGTTTTCTGCATTCTATATCATACCATTAACATTTTATGTCACAAATTTGTGACAGTCATTCACTTTTTATTTCATTTCATTTCATTTCATTGTTATTTCCAGGGAGAGGGGGATGCGGGGTGTGAATGTGTATCTACTATCTGGCAATTATCTTTCAAATTTACGACTCAAGCTATTACTTTAATGAGACGTAATATGCTTGATAATATCATAAAAATGGATGTTTGTTATGCTTCACAACACACAGTCAATTAAACTTCATATACAAGGGGTACTAAAAAAGGACAAAACATTGGCATATCAAAATGTTAATGACCTTTCTGTAAGGGAATACCATGCTTAACCCAAGGAAAAATCAAACAAACTTCACTAAGCACTTGTGAAATAGTACTCCTGGATGGTGAGTTAATGTTCCAGGGGTATAATGATGGTTGATTATACACAAGAACAGATGAAACTAGGCTTCTACATTCAACAAGACTAAACTACAGTAAATATGCAATGCATGAAAATAGGGAGAGGTCCCCCCCCCCTACAAGATTCCATCTTATACAGTAGGCTTGTGGGTGCACCATGTGAGAGGGAGGATTGAGGAGTCCTGAAAAGGACTCTCTGTAATCTTTCTTGAGGGTTTGTAGTCCTGAAAATCACTCTCTGTAATCTTTCTTGAGGGTTTGTAGTCCTGAAAAGGACTGTTTGGTATAGTCATGAAAAAGACTGTTTGTTATCTTTCTTAGCTTATAGTTCTAAGGAGAACTATAGTGCTTGGAGAGGATGAGTGGCGGGAGTACTTACATCTTTATTGTAAGTACTGTACAGAAATACTAAACAACTATATCGCAGGAAATAGAAGAAAAGATAGATAGGAGAAGGAAGAGAAATAAAATATAAAAAATGTAAAACAAACGAAAATGAAGAACAGGGCCCCATTTCACAAAACTTGTCATCAAACTGACAAATGATAGCTAGTGAAGTCCTTGCTTCTGATTGGTTATCAGCAGATTTGTCATTGATTTTTGTCATTTGTCATTGAAAAAAGGCTTTGTGAAATGAGTCCCAGGTGGATACAATGTATGTGTTACACTAAACAAGCCTCACAAGAACAAGACATATATGTGAAGAAACAGGGAAAGGATATAGACAATCAGGTAATGCAAGGGAGATGCAAAAACACATGCATAAAATCATAAGCAATACAGGCAAATATATTACCTGTAGTCACATAAATAGGTAGGGAGACTCCCTCCTTGATTGTTACTTGTTTCACCCCTACACAGAATATGGTTGATTCCATAGGGTACATGAATATATATTGGTGAAAAGAAGAAGCAAATAAATAATATATATAAATTAAATATAGCAGAAAGCAATGAAGCAGGAAAATATATTAATACAAACACACAGTGTGAAGAAATAATAAGTTTGTTTAAAAGATTGAATGATTTAAATGAGTATGAACTGAAAAACATAAATATATAAATAGAGATATATGAATGGCAACAGCATTGGGGAGGAACATACATGAAGATAAATATAGATAGAAGAATGCTGTTATTCTAATGAAGGGTTTGTTATGCTTGAGTAGAACATTTTAGGGAAGAAAACATATTTCTAAGAACAAGTGCATAATCATTTTTGTTTTTTAATCGTGAAAAGTCATGGCACATGTTTAAGGATATATTCAGTTAAAAATAAGTGCCACATACGAAAGCTAAAAGGAAAAGGCCTAAAGCATGTTGTTATGGTTTTTGTTGTAGTTTTGGGAATATTAAATTTTCACCTTTCTCCACAAATATTTAAAACCAAACCTCACAGCCTTTGCAAGTAATCTGAGAATTGCTGAGAGAGAATAGCTGAGAGCTGCAGAGCAAAACAAGCATTTGGCAGAGTTGGTTTTGAGGGGAAGGAGAAGCTATGAAGAACCATGAATACAAGTAAAGCAAGTAAGAGCTAAAGTGACGGAAATGTCTATTCTTCTAACCTGTGATCGCAGAGGAACTTCGGATGGTCTCCATCGTCTCTTCTGATGAGCCACTCCCTGAAGGACGGGTGGTAGAACATGCGATAGTTATCTCGTCTCGGGCACAGGAACTCGGAGATCAGCTTGAGACGCTGATGGTACTCCTCCCACTGCATGTAGTCTTTGGTCAAACCGGCATTGGCACCCTAAAAATGGAAACGGGCATTTCTCATCTTGTAATACATTGCATAGGATAAGACTACTGAAAATTATATTGATGTGGATGTGGATGGTCACTCATTTCACTTACACTTTCCAAAAACAAGTATGGGCCTAAGGATAAGCCATTCTTGTAGAATGTGCTCACAGGAAAGCATGTTCTTGTAAAACAGTGTCAAAATCACTGAAGAAGCCACTCTGATAAAAGAAGACTAAATATACAAATAAAGGATTAAGCACCTAAATGTAGGGGACCTGAAAGTTCTGCAAAAGGAACTTGGACACAGAGGATGGAAGCCTTACCAACAGGCACTATAAGCATATCTTTTCTTTATTTACTGAGCCTACAAACATTGTCTATGATTGTCTATGTTTTACCCTCTACAGAATGTGATATATTTATCATGGTATTAGAAGGCATACTGAAAACAAGAGCTACTAAAGAATTGATTGGAGATGAGGGGCTGAATACATTGAATGTGTTGCATTTCACTTTTTCATTAGCATTTCATTTGCATCCCCCCCCCCGCCCCGGCTATTTGATCGAATCCGTTCACGCATATGACATTATAGCATATTTAAAAAAATTATTGCATGTGTCAATGCCAAGCGTTCTACATCCAGTTTGTCCAGCTCTAAAATCTATCTTCTTTTACGTTCTCACCTGAAAGAGCAGTTCATCACTGAGTGGATAGAGTGAGGCCAGAGCAACGTTGAGGATCGGGGTGACCCTCTCAAAGGCTCGTATGGTAGGGAACTTGAGATTGCACTGTAGCAGGAAGATTTCAGAGAGGTTGATGGGCAGCACCTTGTAGCTTGGACTCTTCATGACAAGGTAGCCTTGCTCTATGAGATCCAAGGTCAGCTTCAGGTACAGGAAGCAGCCCCGGCTAAGCGATTGCAGGTGACTTCTGAACTTGGAGATCATGGACTGCTCCACTTTCCCATTCAGGGATACATTAGTCCTCAACGTGTTGCTCAACTGCAACCTGTGGCTGATGTACAGCTCTGCATCCTTCTGGATGAACTCCGAGTTGGACACCTTGTCCAGAGATATCCTCTGGATGGGCATCATCTTGGTGAGTTCTGCAAACGAGCTTCGGACAGAGATGACCAGCTTCAGCCACTGTGGGAAGCGGGTCATGTGACGCGCTAGGAACGAGGCGATGGTGTCCCCATAGTCGGATTTGTGAAACTCTGCATCACTGAGGCCATCGACGAGTATGAGGCAATTGTCCATTGGTATCTTTCCCTGAGCTTTGAGGAGACTGAGTGGTTCCAGGATCCCCTTGATGAAGGCATCGCTGGAGTTCTGGGTGCACTCTCGCAAGGTGAGGTGGGTCTGTAGCTGGGGTTCATTGAGAAGCATCTCACGATAAACGCTGAGACACTGGGAGAGCTGGGCGGCCATGTTGTGGATGAACTCCGGAACAAGACAGGTGATGCTGTTGTCAGCCTAGAATGGAAGAGAACAAGGTATAATTGTCATCCGAACCGCTTTTACTCACCCAAAGTGTACATTAACTCACAACCACCTTTTCATTTTTCTTGGTTACTTATTTAACAAAATATACATAACAATTCTAAAAAGGATCAAAACATTGAACCCACCTGACAAACATGGAAAGCAACTACTTGTGAAGCTAGAGACATGAGGGACTGTTCAGACTGCTGCCTTGCTCTCGTCATAGTACCACTGCTGTTGTATACGTTGCTCTGAGAAGTAGTGTTTGACACATCAGAATTACCTAAAAGGAAAAAAAGAAAGGATGATCAACACCATAATAGGCACTTGTTTGATCCATAAACTTTGACATCAATGGGTATACACAATTTCGTAATCCAGTCTGAACCAAAATGCCTTAATCCAATACATATGAATTTATACAATTCTAGATATATAGTAAGATAAATGAGACAGTTCTTTCCACTTGAAAATGCGATTGAACAACACAAATAACCTTGTTATGCTTAGCTTATGAATCCACTGACCAAACATCATTATGCACTTTACAGCATTGTCCCTAGTAAAGTATTTTATTTCCTTATAACTGGAAATGAGTAATAATCTATTTTCAACTGTCATTATCATCAGCACTTACCCGCTACAGAGACATGAATATTGCTGTTGATAAGCAGAGTACCGAGTGTACTAAGAGACACCATCTTGGCGATGATTGAAGTCTTTCCCATGCCTACATCCCCCAGGATCCCTAGTCCCTTCAACTTGGCCGCTAGGGTGGGGTCCTTGCCCAAGCAACGCTCCATCTCTGGGAAGAGCCACTCCCTGCCGACGAAGGCAGACTTCTGGCTGAAGCCTGGTATCTCGAAGGTCATAGGGCGCAGGAGCAGGTGCGTCGGCTTTAACGCCTGCATGCGAGCTGAATTGATGGAATATGTTCTTTTAATAAGCATTTCATTCATAAGTAATTGATTATAAAACGATGATACATGCACGTTTTAATAAATACTCCATCTTATGTACGAATATACCATTTCAACAACAGAAATTTGTCTACTTTGTTGATTTGATATAGACCAAAAGAAGTATCAAATTACATAATCCTCCGACTGCCTTAATACACTGATTAGATATTGTGTCTTATAAATGGAAGATTAAATCATTGGAATGTACCCAATGACAGCTGATTTGCTATTTTTTTAATCACTTTCTGATATATTGGTAATATTTTAATGATTTATGATGAATAAGTTCCAAAATTCATTAATCTAATAATTGAATGAATGAGGCTGTAATTGTACTTATAATTTTTTGCATTTGTGTCGCATGCTATCATGGCCTGGTCCCACCTTTCCAATAAAATTTACCTTAATTTGTAAAATGGCTCCCTGGAATTTGTGTGACATTACGTGGTGTTTGAGGTCCCATCACACCAATAATGCTATTCAATGAACCTACACCAGGTTATGTCTACATGTCTCATAACTCAAACAGTGAGACCGTGTCTTTAATCAAAGAAATACACACTTGCTGCCTAATCACAAGTGCTCCTTCTTCAAATCTGTAGTTCACAAAAACCAAGAAACACTAGAAAAGTAAAGTCCTTTTGTAATACCCCGCCACCGCTATCACCACAACAGCTTGATGTAGATATTGAATATCTGAATACAGCATTCTATTCCCTATACCAACAAAAAAACACTGCAAAATATCTATTACAACTATAACAGCACCAATCTTGCGGCTAAGAATGAAGGAATAACAAATATGTGAGAGCAAATACGACAAGAATAGCTGATGTGAAAAATGAAAAAAGGCTGGTACTTTGTGGCATTTCAAATCATATGGTTGTCTTACCCAAAACAGAGATAGAGATTAGTTTCTCAGATAAAAGTGAAGATAAAAGTTTGCAAATTGTGATAGATGCACCGCAAACCATATGTTTATGAAGCCAAAGTGAGTTTTAGCAGAAGTGGATTGAAACTGGACATGAAAAAGCACCCATTATAATAAATAAAAGTGATGGCATTGTCAGGTTGCTGACGGCGCTTCTTTAAAGGCCTGCTCCTTCTGCGGAACGCTTGCACTTCACTATGTTGAAGAAACTGTGTTCTTTATACAGATTACGCTGTGCAGAGAAGGTGCCTTCTGGTATCCTGACGACGCCATACTTTCAGTAATTCTGAGCAAGTACCATATTTCTTAGTCAAGGATTAAACCATAGTACCAATTTTTGACTCCATATAAACCTACTTTTTTGTGTATGGATATTGTTGCTAATGGTTTGACCTGGGCCTATCATAGCTCTCTGTACATATACTATGGCCTACATCCTTGTTCAAGGATTTCTTCTTTAGAATACTTGATTGCTACCTTTAAAATCTGGACTGAGCTTATTGCCATTCTCCTTGTCTCTTAGTGACCTCCTAGTGAAAGTGCGTCGACCTTGAAGCAATGACATGTCATCTGTGGCCTCTGGGCTGGAAGCAGAGGTTGCTATGGAAACCAAACACCATGGGGAGGGCAAAGTAAAATCAAGTGGAAAATTGGAATGCTAGAAAGTGTAGGAACAGTGATCAAGAAAGATCAAAGCATACAAATTTGGAATGCTGACGGTGAAAAATATTGATCATGAAAGATGAAATATTGATCTCATGCACATCAGAAATGTTTTAATGTTATCATGCTGTACATTAAAACTGGCAAAGTTGAGAAATAAAGTGACATATCCCATATTCCGCTTTAAAAATCTTTCATCTAAATTCAATGTTAAAACAAAAAATCAGCAAGAGTTTATTTTTGTTCTGAACAATATAGAATAGTGCAACATGCAACATGAAACAAATTTTTCCACCAAGATTTCTTTTTTGGTATAGAGATATATGCTGAAACCATAGTTGGAGCAATTTGATTTAGGTATAACACATATTTTCAGAAGATTCCAGCTGGATTTATCTTGAGCGTTTATTAACAGGTTAATTTGTCTACGGTATTTCTCCAGGTATATGTATGTGCAAGTTGTGCAATTGAGTCTTTTAAAACTGTATTTTTCAAGAACAAAAAAACTGAAGACATTTCTTGAAGATATAACTGTAAAAAGTGTTTAGTGCACAATGTAGTGAATAGGCACATGACTGAAATGCTGGCAATGAAAAATGTCTGCTAAAGCAAAAAACTATGCACAAACTTCTAAATCAAAAGACACACAACACTTAGCACTTCATGCTCACAGTGCTGCAACTAAAAACAAAAATGAAGAAAGGTGAGAAAAAAAATATGGCTGCCAATCACACTTGCATATGTGCTGCACAAGAACAAGGTGAAAGATGAATTACTCACTTGATGCAGAGCGTAACCTTGCCTGCGAGACGAGAGTGCCACGCCCACTCAGGTGTACCTCTTGATTGGTGAAATTCACCCTCTCAGACACCACAATGGGATCCTGCTTCTCTCCTGATGAACTCTCCTGCGACCTCTCACCTTCGCCTATGACCTCTGATCCCTGACCTGAACTGTCGGTTGTCTTGGTCCTCTTATCACCGGGTGCCATTGAGAGTTGACCATTGGGTAAGGATTGTTGAGTGGTCAGTTTGGCTTGTGCTTGTTTGGTCAGGTTTTGACGTGGATGGGGATTGGTTTGAGTCTTGGGATTGGTCCTTGGTGCCTGTCCTAGTCTAAACTGTTTGCCTACAAAGGTTTGAGAGGATGTAAGACTTATTTTGATATACTCTGAAAATAAGATCATTTGAAAATAAATCGTTTCCTAATACCAGGTTTGCAGATATCAAGATTTTGGAAAACTGGTGTATATCTCACAGCCTACAACTTTCCAACCTTGTCAAAAAGGAAGAAAAGTCATGGACACAAATTAAATATGAAATTTTCTGCACTTACTAGCGTTACAGGGATATTGTAAGAATGCAAGTACATTTTGACTTGATAGTTTTACTTCGGTATTCATGTCAATGGTATTGATGTTTGACGGATGGTGCTCACATTATATGAAATTTTACTTCATTGTCATAGAGTTTTTTTAATCAAACAATTATACTGGCAACAATGTAGGTACTTTCCCCGACCTAAACTTGATCTATTAGGGGTATTAATGGATTTAAATGGAACTTGTTTATGTGGAGATACAAGAAAAATGATGGCATAAATTACCTTCTATGTTGGCCATCACATCCCTTGGACTTGTAGGAGTTGGTGGGGCCTGCATAGATGACATGTCATAACCTTCCATAGAGGACACGCTCGTGAACGATGTATCTCCTACTGAAGATGTAGTACTATTGAAGGAAATATTACTAGTATCATTGGCAGAGGAATCAAGGGAAGCTCCACGCTGATGACTAGTGTTCAAGATCTTTCTAGGGTGGGCCATCTTTGGCTTGATCATGTCCACGCTCTGTTGGCGCATATGACTTGACACAGGCTTGTTCACATTGTTTGTACTTCTTCCATTAGAGTCATTGGGTCCGCCCATAAAAGGTTTCTGCATGTTTGGTGCAGTGTTGCCATTGGTGACTGCTTCACCAGGTCTACCTTTCACACCACCCTCTAGTAACTGTTGGAGTCTGTTCTCCAGGCTAGGGCCTCCTTCGTTACCTGGGCTCTGATAGCTGGCAGGACGACCCTGAGAACCTGTCTTCGGTGCTTGGCCTCTGTTGTTCTGCTTGCTGCGGGACTCTAATGTACTGGCACGCACGCCTGCAACCAGGCCAGTTCTGTTGTGGTTTGTACCATTGGCATAGCCAGTACCAGACTTCTGTTCTTGTGGCCTTTGAGAAGGATTGTCTGAAGGAAGCTTTCCTACTCTATCTTGCATTCCTGGCAATGGTGGTGGTTCAGAGTGCTGCTGCTGTGGGTCGGCCCTGTTCTTCCGCGATGCATTGGTCGGTATCGATTGCACGGTTGCAAATCTTTGGTCCGTCACCGTTTGAGTTTTGCCCTGAACAACTCCATTCCCATGAGCCTGTTGTGGCTGCTGATGTTGTTGCTGCTGCTGTTGTTGTTGTTGCTGATTGAATCTCTGCTGTTGCTGCCATACATTCTGCTGCATATGATGCATTTGATGATGCTGTTGAAGCTGCTGCATTTGCTGCTTCTGCTGGAGGTACATTTGTTGATGAGTTTGCTGCATTTTCAGCTGATACTGCTGTTGTTGCATGTGCATTTGATGCATTTGCTGCTGCTGTTGTAGTTGCTGTATCTGTATTTGGTTTCTTGTATGTGGTACTTGTTGCATTGGCACCTGTGGTGCTCCCTGAGATGGTACATTAGTCATTTGTTGTATATGTTTTCCACTAACAGCAGCAGTTCCTTCATTCAATCCTGCTCCAGAACCTTTCCGCTCAGATCCCCTCCCACTCCCCCTACCGGTTTGAGTAAAACCAGTCTGAGGATTCTTCCCCCTACCACTGCCTTTCCTACTATGATTGAAACCCGCAGGTGGATTTCCCCCACGTCCACTCCCGCGTCCTGTCTGGTTAAAGCCAGGCTGAGGCGGCTGCTGATTATAGCTGATCTGGTTATCGTTAGGATGACGAGGGACCTTTGAAAGAGGTTCCCCATCACCATCTTGAGTTCTTCCAGGATGTCCTGGTATGACTACCATTCCTCCCAGCATTGGATGTCTATTTTGCTGCGGTTGGGTAACGCCATGTGCCATGTCCTTGCCCTGCATCATCTTTGCCTTGTGAGCATCCCCCTCTGCGGTCACACCAGGTCTAAGGGATGGATTAATGTTTTCTTGGTTGGGGTCTGGAAGCACATTCCTGGGGGGCTGGGGTTGTCTGGGAGGGGGAAGCTCTGGAGGCTCGGGACCGGTAGGAGGGGGTGGTGGTCCTGTCCGAGGGCCTTGGCTGAAGAGGAACCCCAGTCTGTTGATAAGAGCTTCTGCAGCCTCAGAAGGAGCTGGTGGAGGGGTGCTGGTGTCTCCTGTTGATATCACAACAATAGAAACATTTTTAAACCCCTCGAAGGAATCACAAATATCTCATAAAATCAAAAACATATTTATTGAAACAAAGTATTAATACATGCATAAGATATATAAATATTGCAAGATGAGAGGTTCAATATATGTTATAGTTCAGGAGTGAAGATGAAACAAACTTAAGGAGAAATATGAATATATATGAAAGATAGCAAACAAAAAGAGAGACGTCTCCTGCACTATGAAAAAGCCTCAATATAAAGATTTAGGATTGATAGTAAAAATAAGTCAAATACAAAGTGAATGTGTTACAATGACAGCCAACTTAAAGAAAAGGTTGAGTTCTGGGGAGAGGTGAAAACTAATTTGTGAGCGTTATCATTGTATATGCAAGTGTGGAAGAACATCAGATAAAAAATGATCCCTGAAAAGCATGGCTCTTCAAATGCCTAAATAATCCAAATATGGTATGTAACATCATAAAAATCAGGACAGATTTTTATGCCACATGTTCCTGTAGTCCCATACACTGTATATATCTTTCTGTGTACAGTGCGTGTAACTTTACCAAGACTGGGCCGAATTTCTTATCATTTTGATGATTTCAGAACCTTGCAGTACACACCAAAACTTATATGCTAGATGATCAACCTTTCCTGATCGATTCCACACTGTTTCTTTCACAATGCAATCGCATGACCAGAACTCAACTTTATCTTTAAAAGAGAGGTATACTGTACCATGACATGAGTCACAGAGGCTGGCATTCTCCGGGATGTCCTCGTAGTCGGAATCGGTTCCAATGTTGGAGGCGGGAACAGAAGAGGGTGGGACAGCTGCAGGAGGAGGAGGAGGAGGAACGAAGAGTTTGGGGGGAGGGCCATCACATGACTTGCTCAAGGGTAGATCTATAATTATAGGAGTTGCAAGGGTGAAATCATAATAATGATGAAAAAGGAACAAACACAAATCATAAATAGAGAAAATGAAATCGTTGCCCGGCAGGCAGAACGACGTTAGCTCGAATTTCAGGTAAAAAATGAAGCGTCAAGCAGAAGGGCGTCAGCACTAAATCGCCTCAAACTTTTATAAACCTGACTTTATTTCCCCTAAAAAAATTGAGGCCGTGTTTTACTATTTTTTTCTTTCATTTTTTAAAAAGATTTAAACCAATTTTCTGGACGGAAAGCAGTTTAAATATAAAAAAAATCTTTAAATGCGAATAATTTGAAAATTATTTAAAGAGTCGCTTGCGAGCTAACGCCCTTCTGCCAGCCTACTGACGAAATGAGATGATTCATGCAAAGGGGTTACTACATACAAGATAAAGTTGTGGAACAAAATTGTTGCATGCACCGATCCCCTTTTGAAAGCCTAAATAAGGGTTCACTGAACCAAAAATGATTCTTGATTTGAACAAATAAACAAAACAAAATAACAGTAGGAATAAAAATGTTCAAGTCTATATAGAATAACATATATACAAAAAATGCATGTAAGAATTTAATAGCAAAATTTTCATGACAGTTACAATGATTTTATCTGTAGATATGGATCAGAAAAAAATTAAAATAAGTTACAGCATCTGAATGTATATTATAAGTACATGGATATATTGATACATAATGCAATATCGATTGACATCTACCTGGTCTACCGGTATCTTGCTTATGGATGGGGTATGATGGTATAGGAGGTGTGTTTACATGAGGATCCTCAAAGAAACGTTTGCCACGTTGACTTCCAGTGGTTGAAACTGAAAAGACAAAATGCAATAAAAGAAAATTGTAAATCATTGTTTATAATATGAAATTCTTTTAACATTTTTTTTCCAATACCAGTAATGAAAATGATAAAAATATTTGGGATGCCTAATGCCATCTGTAGAGAGTCATGGTATTATGCCAAACTTTATCTTCAACCTGGAGGTGTTGTGGTCTAGTGGATAAGTCATCAGACTGCAGATCACAAGGTATGGGGTTCAAGTCCCATCGCGGCACTAATGTCCTTTGGCAAGACGTTAATCTACATTTGCCACTTTCCACTCGGGTGTAAATGGGTGCCTGATATGCTTGAGCCCTAGTTACTTTGGTAGCTCGTCTACAACCAGGGTAATATGTGTAAAGCGCCGTGAGCATCAAAGCCTGGGGGATACCTGCGCTATATAAATATCCATTTTATTATACATTCACGGCATATTCTACCTTTGCAATCATGTGGTACAGTAGGGGTCTGAGTAACTGTAATGAAAATCAAGAGTACACTATTTGTCATAAAAAGGATGCTACCACTAAATATCTCTAGGACTGAAAAACTCTGAGCTGAAGAGGAGCGGAGAGGAAAACAGACTATTTCAACAAATCACTGTCATAGACAGCAGGAAAATTCATTACCCGCACAGTCTGATGTTATTAATAAACAAAGATTTATTTTCCTGCCTTGGAAAAGGGAGGGAACAGGGCGAATACTGCTGATGCACAGTTCACTTGTTCATGTACGATGCAAGGGGTTGCAGTACTCATACAATACAGTCCTCTGAATGACAGATTGTGATTAATAAGAAATCATTAGAAACTTAATGACCAAAATAATTGAGTTATAAATTTGGATTTTCTTCCTTCTTCTAGCTTCATGATGAAGATGGGGGATAGTCTCCACCCCATCCTTGGGGAGGGGGGGGGGGGAACAATGCTACAAGTACATGCATTCCATCGCGTGATCACAAATAACAAAGATGGTGGAGTGAGAAATGATTGCATTAGTTTCTGATGAAGGCATCAATTTTGCTCTTCAGAGCCTGTAAATACATTGTGACCGATGAAGAGGTCTTAAGCTGGGTTGATCATATTTAATCTTCAATCATCCCCAACTGATATAAAAGAGGAAAAGGCATCATGAAGGGATTTAAACCCAAGTCAAATGCCAGATATTTATAGATTTGTTATAGGGAAAGCATCTACGATATATGCAGTGTTAAGAAACTACAGTAATCTGTTTAACAAATCGTGACACAATTGCTAATAAGCGCTCTAAAAGTGGTTTAAACTATCAATTACTTTTTTCTTTCATGAAGACATCGTATATGAAAAGCTGCAAAAAGATATTTGCTCATACACATAGAATGACTAGTGATAATCACTTTCTTATTGTTTTTGTCTTTAACACAATCTTAACACATGATTAATATATTGGAAGTGCTCCTCATTAAAAAAAAAGGTCCATAAATGAAAAATATGATTCAACAGAATCATATTTGATCTGACTTCTATTCTAAATCTTTGAGGAAAAACAGATAGGAAGGGGGTACTTTAAGGTTAAATACTTGCGATAGATCATTGACATTTGATCATTTCCATATTCAAATGTCTTGATGAAACTGCACAACAATTTACTACTCTCCCAGGCAAAGGTTACTTTCAAGTAAATTGGCAATATCTCAAATAATGGCATCTATATTGCTGGCATTATGCTACTTAGGATGTTACTACAGCAACGCACTCATATTTACCCCCCTCTTTTACGTAAGCGGCCCTTCCATAAAAACGTCTAATGCATGCAATTTTCGCTGACCTGAATAACAAGGAGGACTAGGCTATATACTATTTCCCTTGGCAGCTAAAGAGGTATAGGATCCCCGATAACTATATTCATACTCTACATGCATGTAGGCTGAAGGTAAAATGTCTATCGATGTGTTCCCACTAATAAAATGTCATGGAAACAATATCAAATGTATACGATTTCCTCAAATATTAAGTTGTTACATGTTGGGTAGCTGAAAATATATGAGATAATGAAATTCTTTGTATTAATTTTTTTTTAAATCAAACTTTGGGTGTCACTGGTAAACAATATCATTGCTATATTGACCTGTACTACAGCACTTGAGGAAATATGAAGAAATCAACCTTGCAAAATCACTTCAAGAGTACAAACAGTACATTAACCAATCCATTCAAACCAATCAAAAAGATAAAATCTGTGCAAATCTAACATCTGTTTACTTTGAGCAATTTTGTACAGTGGACCTGAAACAGAAGACAAAACCAAAAGCAAATAATTTATTGATTATTGCTCTGAGCTTCCTACTATGTTTGTTTTCCAACATTTTAGAATAAAGTCATGTAGAGTTCAACCACAATAGAATCCTAGTTGAGTTCTGGGAAGAGGTGAAAAATAATTTGTGAGCGCTATCATTGTTATTATGCAAGAGTGGAAGAACATCAGAGAAAAAAAATGTTCTTTTACAATGCAATTGCACGAATGGAATCAACTTTATCTTGAAACATGTTTAACAGTAATGTTTAACATCTCAATGTTCCGTTGGAGGGGAAAGACACCAATTAAACTGGTTTCCGACTCCGGAGCATGTGTGTGAACGCATCCCACCGGATGACATCCTCAAATAGCATCCTTGGGTAGCGTTGACACAGCCAGCTAAGCTAAACCAAGCTCTGGGGAGATAAATTATTTCTTACTAACCCATATCATATCTGATGGAAATTTAATGGGTGGGTCTCCACACTGTAATGAGTTTCAAATCAAATTGGTTGAAGGCATCCATGCATACTTAGCATAATTTGGGGGCAGAGATGGGGCTTGAATTATGCTTGTTTTGTAACACGATAAAAATAAAAAAATGCAAGAAAGTCGTTGCATGTAATTATGATCAAGGACATGCTGATTGCGATGATAAAGAGTTGTGTGTTTTATGCATAGTAGGGTCTACTTAGCAGAATAAGTATCAAAACTGAAACTCATTTCCATAATACTCTGTTTGAATTATAAATAAACCCACTCATTTATTCTCTCTCACTCTCTAACCCAGTAACTCGCATTAGAAGTATAGTGTATGTAGGATATACATACACGTGTATGCTTTCATTTGGATTGGAGCTGTACATGTATGTAAACAAAAATAATATCAAATACCAAGACAATATCACAATACTACACCAGATTCTCTAGATGTGATTTTCTTTCAGGATGCTCAATAACAAATAAATAAAGTAAATATTCCCTTGTATTTTCCACTAGATATTCAATTCTGTTCACAAGAAACTGTTCATTAGTGTAAACTCGTTTAGTTTATTCCTCACATTACATTCACTTCCTCCTCACAGATGTTCCTTTTCTGTTTTGTTAATAAAGCTTTTATAATAAATCCTTCCCGACTTGTTTAGCTGTGTTAGTGATAGTTTCAAAGGAGAAATGCAGACACACTTGGACTATCTTGAAAAGAAGTAAACCTCCAACGTACCATTTATTGAATAATATATCTTTTGAGCTCTCTTTGCAAAAGGTCATCTACACTTTGTCCAATGAAATAGATATACAATGACAAGGAACTTGGGCTGAAGATCATAGCCTTGTAGCTATGCACCAGAAAAAGCACTAAATGATATTACCGTAATAGACTAAAGGAAACATTAGATTTGTGGCTTACAAACATATTGTTTGTGAATGAATATAATTTCACAATGTGAAGGTATGCGTTTGTGCTCACAAAATATTAAAGGTTTTTGCCCATAACAATTTACAATTTGTGATCATGCTTTTGATTATATGGTGCGTGGGAACCACTGCATGAATGAAAGGTGCTCATAATCTGAGTAGGTCATTTCAGGAAAATTCTTATACCGGTAACCCTGATGAAATATTCATTTCAATTGCCAACAAAAAAGTTTTATACAAAGCTAGTAAGCTATGCTTCAACTTCATGAATACAAATTGCACATTTACATGTATGTTCATCTAAACCAATCAAATTATGAATTCTACGAGGTTTTTAGCCACAAATATACTGCGTTTGAAGGAGAGAGACTAATCTGTGAGACTCAGTTCTGTTATGCTGCAGCTAATTGAAGTCATCAATCAGCCCCAGGGGGAGAGCCATGTTGTGAATCGTTGACAGAGACATAAACACTGAAAATCCCTACTCTCAATAACGCTGGCTCCCCACACTTATCGATTCTAGTCACCAAGGTCTTTGATCTTACGGTATGACTAAGTCCTGGAAATTTCAAAATGAGCGCAACAGTTATCCTTCGACCTACTGTATGCATTTCAAAAGGCACAGCATTCTTTGTGAATTTGCTCAATATGAGAAACCATTTTTGACGCACCATGCATCAACTTTCACGTGCTCTGAATACTTCTGTAGATCCAGTAGAAGTACACATTGAAGACTTTGGTCACAGACAAAAGAGCACTGTTAATATCCCATGCAAAATTGTTCCTACATACTACTTTTCTCAATTTTCTAAGTCAATTCCAAAGTCGATGAATTTACATTTCCTTTCACATTCCCCCAAAATCTATTAGACATTAGGACTTTAGGTCAGGTCATCCAAGATGTACAACTTACTTGGTTCGTTGAACCAGGGAGTATCGTGAGAATTTTGTTCCCTTGCTAGTAAATACCGGTAGCACTGACCCATCACTATCTTGACCTACTCAGAGAATCATTACAATATCATCAATTCCTCAGGCAACCTTTCAAGAGCTGAAATTACCATGGCAACCTATGCATACTACTTGTGATCAGAAATAGAGAGGGGTGGGGTGATGAGTGTGTGATAATGTGTAGTGCAGGGTGAGGGATAAAGACTGGCAGAGCAAGAGAAAATGAGAGAAAAGGAGAGAAAAGGAGAGTGAGTGTAAGAGAGAGAGAGAAAAATGAAGCAGAGGATTTACGTATAAAATTTACATAAGTACACATGGGCAAATTAAAAGACCATAATAAAAATTCTCTAT